CAATGGCTGGTTCACAGTACTGCAAGTGTCTGTGTAGACAATGGCTGGTTCACAGTACTGCAAGTGCCTAGGTAGACAATGGCTGGTTCACAGTACTGCAAGTGTCCTAGGTAGACAATGGCTGGTTCACAGTACTGCAAGTGCCTAGGTAGACAATGGCTGGTTCACAGTACTGCAAGTGCCTAGGTAGACAATGGCTGGTTCACAGTACTGCAAGTGTCTGTGTAGACAATGGCTGGTTCACAGTACTGCAAGTGCCTAGGTAGACAATGGCTGGTTCACAGTACTGCAAGTGCCTAGGTAGACAATGGCTGGTTCAATGGCTGGTTCACAGTACTGCAAGTGTCTGTGTAGACAATGGCTGGTTCACAGTACTGCAAGTGCCTAGGTAGACAATGGCTGGTTCACAGTACTGCAAGTGCCTAGGTAGACAATGGCTGGTTCACAGTACTGCAAGTGTCTGTGTAGACAATGGCTGGTTCACAGTACTGCAAGTGCCTAGGTAGACAATGGCTGGTTCACAGTACTGCAAGTGCCTAGGTAGACAATGGCTGGTTCACAGTACTGCAAGTGCCTAGGTAGACAATGGCTGGTTCACAGTACTGCAAGTGTCTAGGTAGACAATGGCTGGTTCACAGTACTGCAAGTGCCTAGGTAGACAATGGCTGGTTCACAGTACTGCAAGTGTCTAGGTAGACAATGGCTGGTTCACAGTACTGCAAGTGCCTAGGTAGACAATGGCTGGTTCACAGTACTGCAAGTGCCCAATGGCTGGTTCACAGGTAGACAATGGCTGGTTCACAGTACTGCAAGTGCCTAGGTAGACAATGGCTGGTTCACAGTACTGCAAGTGCCTGCAAGTGCCTGGTAGACAATGGCTGGTTCACAGTACTGCAAGTGCCTAGGTAGACAAATGGCTGGTTCACAGTACTGCAAGTGCCTAGGTAGACAATGGCTGGTTCACAGTACTGCAAGTGCCTAGGTAGACAATGGCTGGTTCACAGTACTGCAAGTGCCTAGAACAATAGACAATGGCTGGTTCACAGTACAATGGCTGGTTCACAGTACTGCAAGTGCCTGTGTAGACAATGGCTGGTTCACAGTACTGCAAGTGCCTGTGTAGACAATGGCTGGTTCACAGTACTGCAAGTGTCTGTGTAGACAATGGCTGGTTCTGTGGTGCAAGAGGTAGACAATGGCTGGTTCACAGTACTGCAAGTGTCTGTGTAGACAATGGCTGGTTCACAGTACTGCAAGTGCCTGGTAGACAATGGCTGGTTCACAGTACTGCAAGCGCCCAGGTAGACAATGGCTGGTTCACAGTACTGCAAGTGCCTAGGGTAGACAATGGCTGGTTCACAGTACTGCAAGTGCCTAGGTAGACAATGGCTGGTTCACAGTACTGCAAGTGCCTGGGTAGACAATGGCTGGTTCACAGTACTGCAAGTGCCTAGGTAGACAATGGCTGGTTCACAGTACTGCAAGTGCCTAGGTAGACAATGGCTGGTTCACAGTACTGCAAGTGCCTAGGTAGACAATGGCTGGTTCACAGTACTGCAAGTGTCTAGGTAGACAATGGCTGGTTCACAGTACTGCAAGTGCCTGGTTCACAGTAGACAATGGCTGGTTCACAGTACTGCAAGTGTCTAGGTAGACAATGGCTGGTTCACAGTACTGCAAGTGTCTGTGTAGACAATGGCTGGTTCACAGTACTGCAAGTGCCTAGGTAGACAATGGCTGGTTCACAGTACTGCAAGTGCCTAGGTAGACAATGGCTGGTTCACAGTACTGCAAGTGTCTGTGTAGACAATGGCTGGTTCACAGTACTGCAAGTGCCTAGGTAGACAATGGCTGGTTCACAGTACTGCAAGTGTCTGTTCACAGTACTGCAAGTGCCCTGAGACAATGGCTGGTTCACAGTACTGCAAGTGCCTAGGTAGACAATGGCTGGTTCACAGTACTGCAAGTGCCTAGGTAGACAATGGCTGGTTCACAGTACTGCAAGTGTCTGTGTAGACAATGGCTGGTTCACAGTACTGCAAGTGCCTGTGTAGACAATGGCTGGTTCACAGTACTGCAAGTGCCTAGGTAGACAATGGCTGGTTCACAGTACTGCAAGTGTCTGTGTAGACAATGGCTGGTTCACAGTACTGCAAGTGCCTAGGTAGACAATGGCTGGTTCACAGTACTGCAAGTGCCTAGGTAGACAATGGCTGGTTCACAGTACTGCAAGTGTCTGTGTAGACAATGGCTGGTTCACAGTACTGCAAGTGCCTAGGTAGACAATGGCTGGTTCACAGTACTGCAAGTGCCTAGGTAGACAATGGCTGGTTCACAGTACTGCAAGTGTCTGTGTAGACAATGGCTGGTTCACAGTACTGCAAGTGTCTGCCTGGTTCAGGTGTAGACAATGGCTGGTTCACAGTACTGCAAGTGCCTAGGTAGACAATGGCTGGTTCACAGTACTGCAAGTGTCTAGGTAGACAATGGCTGGTTCACAGTACTGCAAGTGCCTAGGTAGACAATGGCTGGTTCACAGTACTGCAAGTGCCTCTGGCTGGTAGACAATGGCTGGTTCACAGTACTGCAAGTGCCTAGGTAGACAATGGCTGGTTCACAGTACTGCAAGTGCCTAGGTAGACAATGGCTGGTTCACAGTACTGCAAGTGCCTAGGTAGACACTGGTTCACAGTACTGCAAGTGCCTAGGGTAGACAATGGCTGGTTCACAGTACTGCAAGTGCCTAGGTAGACAATGGCTGGTTCACAGTACTGCAAGTGTCTGTGTAGACAATGGCTGGTTCACAGTACTGCAAGTGTCTGTGTAGACAATGGCTGGTTCACAGTACTGCAAGTGCCTAGGTAGACAATGGCTGGTTCACAGTACTGCAAGTGTCTGTGTAGACAATGGCTGGTTCACAGTACTGCAAGTGCCTCTGTGTAGACAATGGCTGGTTCACAGTACTGCAAGTGCCTGTGTAGACAATGGCTGGTTCACAGTACTGCAAGTGCCTGTGTAGACAATGGCTGGTTCACAGTACTGCAAGTGCCTAGTGTAGACAATGGCTGGTTCACAGTACTGCAAGTGCCTAGGTAGACAATGGCTGGTTCACAGTACTGCAAGTGCCTAGGTAGACAATGGCTGGTTCACAGTACTGCAAGAGCCTAGGTAGACAATGGCTGGTTCACAGTACTGCAAGTGTCTAGGTAGACAATGGCTGGTTCACAGTACTGCAAGTGCCTAGGTAGACAATGGCTGGTTCACAGTACTGCAAGTGCCTAGGTAGACAATGGCTGGTTCACAGTACTGCAAGTGCCTAGGTAGACAATGGCTGGTTCACAGTACTGCAAGTGCCTAGGTAGACAATGGCTGGTTCACAGTACTGCAAGTGCCTAGGTAGACAATGGCTGGTTCACAGTACTGCAAGTGCCTAGGTAGACAATGGCTGGTTCACAGTACTGCAAGTGTCTGTGTAGACAATGGCTGGTTCACAGTACTGCAAGTGCCTAGGTAGACAATGGCTGGTTCACAGTACTGCAAGTGTCTGTGTAGACAATGGCTGGTTCACAGTACTGCAAGTGTCTGTGTACTGCAAGTGTCTGTGTAGACAATAACTGGTTCACAGTACTGCAAGTGCCTAGGTAGACAATGGCTGGTTCACAGTACTGCAAGTGTCTGTGTAGACAATGGCTGGTTCACAGTACTGCAAGTGTCTGTGTAGACAATGGCTGGTTCACAGTACTGCAAGTGTCCGTGTATACAATGGCTGGTTCACAGTACTGCAAGTGTCTGTGTAGACAATGGCTGGTTCACAGTACTGCAAGTGCCTAGGTGTGGGAACCAGACAAGCTAATGTCCACACAGAGGCACTTACTGGGCTTTATACCAGTGGTCTTGACCATATGTGTACCTAAATAAAGTTCTGACCAAGTCTTCATGCTTGTTTAAATGTCATTGTCTTCATTGTTAAACATGAATTATGGATATATTCCATATAGACAAACAATAGAAGAATGACATAATTTATATAAAAAGATTTATTGATTTTTCATGTACAAAGTCTCTTTACAAAGCCTACAAATATATGGTATGAAATATGATTATGAGTGAGTGAGTATGGTTTTACACCATTTTAGCAATACAGTGCACTCTGTCAAACTCGGACTCTGTCTTTCTCGGATTGCTGTATAAACAGGACTGAACTCACGGTCCCAACGTAATCCTTCTTTGTTGTCATAATAAAAAAGTTCTGTATCTCGGACTCTCATTATTTCGGATTTCGGACCAAAGTGTCGGCCCGATAAGGATAATTCGGACTGAGCAGGAAGTCCGCTTGGCCAATAAACCTTGCATAAACATTCCGTTGATTGGTTTGTGTATTTTGTCTTATTTACTTAGCAGGAAGTCTGCTTTCGCATTAAACATCGTGTCCGAGCGTGAAGATTGGGCGGCGAGAGCCGAGATGTCACTTGTCAGTGACTTGACTTACATTACATGATCGCACAAAAAGATTGAAATAGTAATTTTATATGTACGTTTGACAACTTTTATGAATGTTGTTGTTGATTTTATTCATTAGTTTATTCAATTTATTTAATGAATTCCTCGAAACATCGTTACTTTGCTCTTTGACAATGTTATTGTGGACCCACTGCCGAAGCAGGTGTCCGAGAATCGTTGTTTTTAATAACATTGCGAAAAATAGTTTATAATTTTAATTCTGCTGATAATATATGATAAATTGAAATTTAATAAGTGTTTTCAGACATTGTGAAATGTGATAGATTTAATATATGAATCATAAGTCAGGTAAGTTCCTAGAATTATGTCTCCATAAAAATCTGTGTACTTCGGACTACTGTATAATTCGGACTTTTTAGTCGGTCCCAAGCTGGTCCGAATTAGACAGAGTGCACTGTATTCCAGCAAAATCATGGCGAGGGACACCAGAAATAGGCTGAATATGATTATGAAGTGCCTATGGCAAGAATGAAAATGCATAGTAAGAGATGATTTTAATCACAAAGGTTGCTTGCTATATGCTTCCATCACAAAAATATCTAAACAAGTGCATTACTCATCTGTTTCTCATGTTGACATCTAAGATTGTCCAAAATTAATGTGTAACTAGGAGTTTAAGGAAAGACATTTCAAACACTTCTATTCATAATGTGAATGTTTCAGAAACATTCATGACACTAAATGTATGAAATTAAAAACAAATTTTACTGTACAGTACATCAAACATCTTACAAGTGTATAAAACTGATATCTAAAATATATAGGTATGTGATATCTGTGCAGTGTCAATCAATGTTAATGTACAAGGTGTCCTACTGGACTGATATGTTTTCATTCAGTGGTTCATGAAACATTGTATCATCTGTTCATGATCATGCATGAAATGAGCATGGTATCTTTATCACATGTTTTGTATGTACAGGGTATCAGATATATAACATTTTATACATAATCAACATATGTACAAGTTTTAAAATCAGAATGTGTATCAAAGTTAAGATATATAAAAAGTTTCACCAAAAAATGAAATACATTATCAACAAAGCAAATCAAGTACCTAAAACTTCCACAGTCCCACATAACTCCTTTCCTTTTGAGAAAATGTTACATACCTATCACCTAAAAACAGCCCCATTTCAGTACAATTTGGGAATATGTTTCCTCAAGAGCTTAGGCCATGCATAGTAAAGGCACTTTCCATAAATACATTGGGAGGAGTCAATCCCTTAAAATCTTTTATAAAAACACATAAAATCCAACACTGAATAGGACTGAGCTTCTATTGGGCTAGATGCGGTCCCAGAATTCTTGGGCTACACTAAGAGTAGGGTGTAATGCTGAAGGAAGGATCCAACAGAAAACTGCAAGTTAACAGTAAATAAGAACAGATACAGTAAGCAGGGAAGAATTTGTCCAAAACACATTTGGGAAAAAACAAAGATGCAGGACTTGGTCTGCTGCTCATATGAGTGTGCAGTATTCAGTCCCAGGTCATGTGGTTGTCCACACTGTGACAACCGAGGCCAGTACCATCACCATGCTTGCTGCCACGGATGATGCTCCCGCTATACGGCACTTCAGTGTAGCATATCTGCAATGCATTCATAACAGGTTAACATTAGTTGATCCATCTTCAATAGAACAATCGACATAAACGTATACTGAATGATGCTTATAAAAAGTCTTCAAATGTTGGTTTGTTGTTAAACGCCGCACACAGCAATATTCCAGCTACATGGCGGCAGTATGCAAATTATCAAGTTTGGTAAAGACTATCCAGTGATCAACATCATGAACATCAATCTACATAACTGGGATACGATGACAGCGAGCCTAACCACCTGATCCCATTAGTCATCTCTTACGACAAGCATGGGTTACTGAAGACCAATTCTAACCCAGATCTTCACAGGTACCTTCAAATGTTATTTAGTTGCGAGGATGCCTGTCTTGATGGAGACAGATTACAAATCTTGCTACTCATCTACAGGACAGACAGAACTGACACAAACATGTTGAAGGACAGTAAACAGTAATGGTTGTCTTCATACCTGTTGAGTTGTCCAGCCTGCAACTTCCTCCATTCCTCCTCCATGGTCTGACCATCAAAGAACCAGGCCAAGTCGTTGAAGGGATACTCGTAACCTTGACGACACTCACATTTGTAGCCACCACGTGTAAACTTCTTCCCCTCGAGAGGCACACACTGTGAGCAGATTGAAAGTAAAATGGACAAAAATACAATACATTATTGTGGTAACAGGGGTCAGTGGTGGGTGCTTTATTTAAACCATACATGAGAAATGTTTGAAAGATTTATTGGCAGAGAGGAGCATACGTGCAGTACTTCTTTATAGATATATTTTCATGTAAGTGTTTTGACTTGCACATTCATCAACAAGTTAATGAGAGGGCGCCATTTGAGCTTAAATGGTCAATACATCATATAAAACACCTCAATAAATCATGGAGTATATCTGAGGCAACCATATACATAACCTAGAAGAATGAGTCTGATATTACCAAATACAATATTACAACCTGTCAGAATCTCTCCTGTATCAAGAAATGTTTCAAATATAAGAGGTCACCATTCTAAACTTCACTCCCTCACAAAGATGAAAAGGTCCATGAAGCAATTGTTGGCACCAGAAAATAATCACTGTTATTGTCACGTGATTATTCCGCCAGTGCCAAGAACTGCAACTAGATGAGTCGCTTGGCTGAAAGTCTTTGAGGTATTAGCATTACTTACATATTGACTTTCAAAGTGGCAACGAGCTGTGTTCTTGAAGGAGTTGGCACTGTGGAACTCCGAGGGGCACTGGTTGATGTCCAGGTAATCAAGCTTGGCGTCCACAGTGACCACACCTCTGGACACAGACAGACAGATAAGGTCAGTACAACAGTAGGCAAACAACGTCCACCAATACACATTGAAAATTCAATGCTCTACCAAACCATCATTATTTAAAAGTTGCAGCATTAACAGTTGTCAAACATTTGTATTATACACATGACTCTCACCTGTGTCTGGCAATTAAAAGAAAAAAATATTAACACCTTTATCTAGTTGACGGCAAAACTGACTTTAACCTATTTGGAAACACAAGTAATTGTGGTATTCTTACAACAAAACATACCTTATGAAAAACAAAATAATAATCAAATTTCATACAATAAAACCATAAAGACAAAACTGGCCAACATGCTGAAAATTCCTACTTTGCGGTCTAAATAAGCCTGTATTTAAAACTTGTAAGTGTTACTGTGAAGACCATGGATACACAAAGATCTATGAAACCAATAAATTAACGGTTCCTCAATTTGCAGCTTACTTGAATTCAATCTTTGTCTTCAGACTGTTTTTCCCAAAGAAGGGCACAACGTAGGTGACCACCCAGTCATTGAGCATGTCATCACACTTAAATTGTGGTCTTAACCATTCTCCATCTTCATAGCGAGGTGCTCGATAGGTCAGAGGGTAATATTCAAACCGGATCGAACTGGTTCCCCCTGGATTGGATCTGATCATGGGCTTTGCTGTGAACTTCTTCAGACCATACTGATTGGTTGCCCATCTGGCTTTCATGTCCCTGTACCAGGATGCATCAACGTAATAGTCCTCAAAGCCAGCAAAATCTATTGCCTTGAAATAATCTAGACCCTCATCCTTTGACTCTATTTTGTAGGCATAGGGTCCAAAGAATTCCCGTGTTATACCATCCACAAATCTGGGGTCAGTGTTGTTGATGGGTGGGGACATGCGGAACTTATACCTGTCAAAGAAGACACCACTGGCCTTTATCTTGAAGTCACTCATTACATTGGCAAGAACTTCAGAGAAGATTTGAGTTTCATTCAGACGTCTGTCACCACGGAGGTTACCAAATTCTTCGTATTCATCTACATTCTGCAGGAAGTTGCTGAGGAAGTGTGCCAGTCTGAGTGCAGTGCGACCTTGAGCCTCATAAAGCTTCTCTACTCCATGGCCAGCATCTCCAGGAAGGAACAGCTCATGAGCCTGCTTGGACTTGCAGTTCTGAGCATTGGTTTGATACTTCCTTGTCAGAATGTCATCGAAGCGGATCACTGCTACCTCATCCACAGCATCTCGCTTGTTCCGATGTATCTTGCTCGATGTGTCTCTCTTGATGCGAGCGACCAGCGTATGTCTCTTCTCCCTCAACAGTTTCTCTTTGTAGTCCTTGAGTCGTGCAACTAGGTGGCGCTTCTGTCGGGGACTGGGTCGGGGACTCTGAGCTTTTGTGAGGGACATCTCCAAAAACTCAGTTTTCTTTGACAAAACTGATCTCTTCTTCCTCTCCACAAACTCTGGCATCACGTTAGGGATGACTTGACGTTCTGGAAAAAAGGACACAAGAAACAGTTTGAAAAGATGCAATTTGTTTACTGCTGCAGAGTGTAACATTACAAAAAATTATCTTGACAAACTATTCATATTGTACTTGATGTTTACGTAACTTTGACAAGGCCTAAAGACACAGTTTCATTATTTGGTTTACGCCGCTTTCAGCACTTTTCCAGCTGGGCCACCAGAAATGGGCTCCACACATTGTACCCATGTGGGGAATCGAACCCGGGTCTTCAGCATGACCACTAGGCTACCCCGCCGCCCCACACAGTTTCAGAGGTAATTTACCTTAAGAAGGAGTACAAATACACTCTGAAATGTCAAATTTAACAAATAAAGAAGTTACTATCTAAAATATGTTTGACTAACAGTAACACCTGGACACATCACATTATGCTATATAAGGACTAGTTCTCACCCTCTACAGCTAGGCAGTCAAAGCCCACTTCATACTCTTCTCGAGTGGCCTCCTCAATCTCCCATCCAAGGAAGGGTCCATCGTGGAACCAGGGGTAGTAGTACCCGGGTTGACACACACACTGGTAGCCTCCCCGCTTGAAGCCGTAGCCACTGATTGGCTCACACTGTAGCAACAAACACAATATGCAGTGCTCCTTGTATTTCCCTCAACCACACTGGGATTTAGGGGTTTAATAATATGTATGATGAATACATAAATAAAGAAATAATGTGAAAATAAATAATTTTTCATCACGCCTGTTGTCCTCTTATCTACATTACACCATTATAGTGGAATGTGACTGTTGGTGAAAGTTTTCACCATCAAGTCAGGAAAGCATGACAGTGTAACAAGGTTTAATTGATCATCTCAGCACTATATCATAACTTATTTGTATTATACAAGATAAAAGGGGACACACATTCTAGATTTGCAAGATTTCCAATTAGACAGTGGATGGGAGCCAAACGCCAAATGTACCGACCAACCCTTGCTCTTCACCCAACCCCTTACAAAGAACATTTGTTGTGAGAACCCCATCCACCCCTATACAAATGACTACTCCCTAGATAATGTTCTATTTCATAACATTTATATTTTTATAAATAAATACTTATTTGTGTCATAGTTTTATGGAACTGCACATCACTACTGTACATATCACAATATTTTGTGTGAAGAACACATTAATTGCAAAGCATTAGAGATATTTGGAATTGGTTCAAATGTGTGGGGTTTTTTTTAAAACACCTTTACAAAATAAAAGGAAAAAACCCCATGTATAACCATGACTAAAATTAAGTGATAAATATGTAATTTTATAAGATATAAGAAGACAATTCCTGTTTAACATTAAAGTACATTTTTCAAATTTCCTCATCCCATTATTCATCCTAATTTGAATGTTTCTCAGTGTAGTTATTACCATGGTAGTGTTCTTGCATCGGTCTGTTCCAGCAAAGTAGTTGGGCGGAGGGTTCCCCTCAGCAAGTGGACACTGGTTCATGTCAATCCGTTCAAATTCAGTGTCCATTGTTGACACAGCCACAAACCTAGGTGTGAAAAGTAAGATTTGCAATTTATCAAAACAGATCCACTTGTCCAACATGGCACAATTAAACCAAACTTCACAGACAATACAAATCCTTGTCTAATACTGCTAATCGTGAAGGCCCCTTTGTCTGTCTGTGAAGACCTGCATGTAAACTTTGTTCATTCACTCATATTTCCCACCAACCAGGTATTTTCACATGGTGAAAACACTCTGCCTACTTTGCAACTTGTAAGTTATGATGAAAAGTGGGTATCTCCACAAACCCCATGTTACTAAATCATCAAGGCTGAAAGTAGTCAGGTTTTTTTATATCTATTTACAATCTATACATATTTATATAATTTTGTAATTCCCCATTACATTTGTTAACATATTTGTATACAAAGGAACAGTTCTCTTTTCATACATGTGTATTTACATATTTCTTAATGGTGAATCATTGTTTGAACTTAAAACAGATTTCAACTGTTTTTGGGTCAGTAAATGAGCACTTTCTATCTTCTCATTGAATTGTTGTATCAGATCAGGGAAAAGTTGTACACCATGTATTCCATTTCTTGATATTTCCACTGATACTTCATTGATACAACACGTGAGACAACAATATGAGACTAGTAGACATCCTTGTTTTTAACCAATGGATCATAGAACTATACTGGTTACCGAACAGTTATCGCCATATTTTAGCAGTATTTACAAAATTACTCAGCCGTTCGTTAAATCAATGAAACAGAATTAATTATGATACTTAATTAGCTATTCACTGACGTGTCCAGCTCGTTCACTGTCACCGATCATGATTTTATATAACACGGCGGAAGGGAATCATGGCAGTATAAATAGATCTTTTCTCACAACTAACCATAACAGATATCGCCATTCAGAATTCCTCATACATACATACATACATACATACAAACATTTGTACAGCGCCTATATCCAGTACAACTTCTCAAAGGCCATTCGTGAAATAATATATATTTATATTATACAGTAAACTCGAATAATTGATTGCGTGACTACTTGAGTGTTTCTTTTACTGTAGCTAGATCGATAGGGAATGAAACATTAACACTTGTGAACTTGACTTGCTATTATATAGGTAGTGGGACATACCCCTGACTAAGTTAAAAAAAAATTTCACTGTTCATAACTTTATCTTTAATTTTTCTCTTATGTTACTTGAAGTGAAGAATTTTTTGGGGATGTCCATTACAAATATCGTGGGGATAAATACCGGATTTGTAATTGATCGTAACTGAGCAGGTGCGATACTGATGTCTTGGCGATAACTGTTACGCGGCGATAACTGTTCACTAGCCAGTATATATTCATAATTCAATTTTTTAAAAGTTAAACAAGTATCAAAAAGACATTTCCATAACTTTGAGTAATTAACAGAATTAAAGGCTTTCTTAAAATCTATAAAGGCAACATATGATTTCCTTTTCTGTTCAATGGGACATTAAAGTGAAGCCATGGCCATTGTGTGGTAATCTTATCTGAAGCCTGCTTGAGATTCTGGTACAGTCATCCCTCACAATAATGTTCTTCGCGATACCGCAGATTCGGTTAAACTGTGGGGTAATCTGTGGCTCCGATCAAAAAAGAGTTGCCCAGCGATCACACATCTTTACGTCATTGAAAATAGCACATCACATTGATTCTCCGCTAAACGGACATTTCCCATATTTCATCATGTTCATTGTCCCTGTCGTCTTATAAAATATTTTGTCATTGAAATGTATTTTTCTTCTCACTAAAACAGAGGCCCCGCACATACAGTATCACAATTCATGTCACTTCAGTGTTTGTGTAAGTAATTTTGGTATACACCGCATCGTGACGTAGACCTTCGTTACCTTCTGCAAGTACCTGATAACAATTCCGTCCATGTTATTTGATTAAATTTAACCCCATTTTCATTCATTAAAACTGTTTACAGTAACATAAGAGAAAATGTGTGTGAAATGGCCTCCCTTCATTCTATATGAGTACAACTTCCGCTTACCATGTTCGTGATTGTCCTCTTTTCGCGCCTTCCGCGATAGCACCAGTTTCACATTATGCTCAGCAATCACGAACAGATTTCTGCCTTGTCATCCAAGGACCCCAAGACCCGTGGTATTGACTCATTGAAGTAATATTTGACAATATATTGCCAGCATTCTGTTTTTACAATCAAAGTTGGACATGCCGCGGGAAGTCAATGGTGACTTGTCAAACTGTCTCCTGTATCTTGTCCGTAATATTTGACCAATTTTGGGATAAGTACAGTACATTTAAAATGGATGCATACAGCATGTTTAAAACCCACCCTATAGATATTCCTCTGTAACTATCTAGGTTGCTCCACTCACATTTCTAATGTAGTGGAACCATAAAAGCACTGGTCCAAGCTTCCAGGAAAATATCAGAGTCTTATTGAGTTTAAACATTCTCAGAAGATTTTACAATTCAACAATAATACAATCAAGAACAGTTTTGAAAAGCTCTGTATAGCCTGAAATGTATTTTTCCATCCAAAAGCATTAAGGATTTGCTTTTTTTCTCATTATGCATTTAAAATTTGAAAAAAAATAAATTTATAAACCAATGTAAACATAAGGATAAAAAAACACTTACTACCGTGAATGGTATGGAGAGCACAAATGTTAAAATCCATGAGACAATGTACTGCGTTCTTTCTCATAGCACACCTCAAGTCCTGAGTGGCTGCCTGCATGTGAGTGGAGAGAGGCCTGGCTAAGATGCTGACCGACCAGCACCCCTCTAATACCTGGCCAATAACAATCACTTGCACCACATGTCACATCACGTTACAAGCTACACACAAATAGGTATCATTACCAACTTTCGGACCATGGATTGCTTATTTGGCAGGCAGGTTGTCACCATCATGTGACCATAAGTAACAGGACCTTGTCAAGAGTTCAGAGTGTTGGAAGTTGAAATGCTGAGCCACTGGCTAATGATGGTAGATTGTCTGATCAGCATTCTGTTTCCATGTGACTGGCAACAGTGACCTGAAGGTATCCCTATACCTTGATGTATTGGATATATCTGAGCAACAGTTACTCTTATGACCAGCTTTGGTTACCGGGCCCCGTTCTCAAACTAAAGCAATCGTAGCGCTACAACACTCGCAAGTCTATGTTAAAGTATGGGAGTTACGATCATCTTAGCGCTACAGCACTCACAAGTCTATGTTAAAGTATGGGAGTTACGATCATCTTAGCGCTACAGCACTCGCAAGTCTATGTTAAAGTATGGGAGTTTCGATCACCTTAGCGCTACAGCACTCACAAGTCTATGTTAAAGTATGGGAGTTACGATCACCTTAGTGCTACAGCACACACAGTGTATGTTAAGGTATGATAGTTACAATCACCTTAGGGCTACATCACTCGCAAGTCTATGTTAAAGTATGGGAGTTACGATCATCTTAGTGCTACAGCACTCGCAAGTCTATGTTAAAGTATGGGAGTTACGATCACCTTAGGGCTACAGCACTCACAGTCTATGTTAAAGTATGGGAGTTACAATCATCTTAGCGCTACAGCACTCGCAAGTCTATGTTAAAGTATGGGAGTTACGATCATCTTAGTGCTACAGCACTCACAAGTCTATGTTAATGTATGGGAGTTAAGATCACCTTTGTGCTACAGCACTCACAAGTCTATGTTAAAGTATGGGAGTTACGATCATCTTAACGCTATGGTCGCTTTGAGGAAAGGTGCCCAGGTGACCAATACTAGCCTGCAATCTCCAAAGGAGTTATGAGTGAGTGAGTTAAGATTAATAGTCACATCGGCAATATTTCAGCCATATCGTGACTAAAACTAGTTCTAAATTTATAATACATACAAATAATATATAAACCCTGTCAACGAAAGACAGTAAAACCACTAGATTATCCCAGATTGAGTTAAAACTAGCTAGCATATATCTTTAAAAGTAGAAAATTATTTCTGGACAATACAATGTAAAATTGGGCTATAGATCGCCAACAACTGAAAGTAGATCACCATACTAGGGACCATGGGGTCTTGGCTACCTGCATGGACCCTAGTTGGATTTACACCATCCCTTCAGCCGCTGGCGATTGTAGGACAAGTTTAGCCGAAATTTAAAGGAACAAATATACTACGGTTAAAAATCTGGTAAGCAAAACTTTAACTCTGAAAGTTTTGGGACTTACGTACCCTCTCAGGAGGGCAATAATTTTACGCTACTTCAACACCCTTTGAGGGTACAGCCACCCAAAGGAGTTATGAACTAAGTATTCAATCTTCCCTCACGACAGATCCTGTGATGGTGACATTTCGTCAACAACTTTAGTACCTTTATGTAAATCATTCCATTCCCTTTTCTTCCATCACACTGATCCAGCATACACAGCTGTGAAACATAATACTTCTACAAATAGTTGTAGGATTTATTAAGACTTCCATAGAAGTTGATAGTCATCACCAAGTCAGCATGGTAAAACCTCCATGGGAAAAGGTACTGTTTAAAAGAAGGGTATTATATAGGAAGGAAAATATATATAGTGCATTCTCAGAAAGCAATATAATATATGTCCCTGTTACAAACGTAATGATTACATCTTATTTAAAGTTCACTACACTAGCTGATAACTTTACTTTAGAGTCAGTAATAAGGGGTCTACTGGACAAGCTAAAAATACTTACAATCACATTATTGCATTGACTGCTTTTAACACGTTAAAATGTATGTGAAATTAATAAGAACAAAACAACTTAAAAAAATATTTAAAATTCACAATTTGATTAGGAAGGGCACTTAGAAAAATATCTGAGGGTTGATGGTTATCATGGTTATTTTACAAAACTGTTTACAGCATACAGTATGACAAATCAGACTGCTCAGAGTAGTTTCTGTGGCTGGTTACGGTCATGACATCCCAAAGTACGAGGGGCCTGTGAACCCCTTCAAGTGTCGTCATTATACGAATATCGCCAGTGTAACAAGCTAACAGACAGACGGTGAAAGGTGTAACAGCCCACAAAGTTATCGCTGCAATGACAAACATACTGTTATCTGTTCCGCCTGCCAGGTTACACTTGTCAAGCACCCATAAAACCCAACCCTTATCATGCTCATTGTTCAGTGTTCCCCTGCAGTAGACCAGGAATACACTCCCCATAGCAATATTATACTTTATGAAGTGAGTCCTTGCAGACATTGTTCATGATGATGGCAGCCGTATACTTTGTAACTATGTAAGACGCCTATGTACTTAATTAATTCTAATGACCATGTGAAGCTGACGTGGAGGAGTGGACTCTCAAACACATATTGGAAACATTAAAACACAAAAAACAGCAACACTTTCCCCTCATCATTGTGCTAATGAGTGACACATTGACTCGTGATTGGAACTGTTGTTTAGTGGTATAAAGAATGAAATTATGGCTTGTGAAAACAAAAAGTAGAAAAATTACTCCTGCAGTTTCTAGACAGCTGTGAGAGCATGACAGCAATTGAGTAGTCCTTATGGATTTGTACTAGCCCCAAGCTAACAGGGTGGCGGTGATGGCACATGCTGATGATTCTGTCAACTTACATCGCATTCAGGGACAGAATGAACTAATTAACCACACAGTAATGGGCTACAGATATTCACTCACATGTTATCATTCACATTTCATGTTTAAAGGTTGATTTTCTTCTCGATGGGCATATAATCATAACAAATTCTGGGAATAACTTTGTTTGAAATGATATTTCAGGTCACAATTAGCACGTTGTTCACAGAACAATGTGGCAGTACAGCCTGCATGTAAGCAGTAAATACAGCTCTGTACAGAGCTGCTGGTGCTGAAGCTAGAATGCTTCAATTGGTGATTTGAGGTTACATGCAGTGTGGTAATATGTTTGTGTTTATCAAATTCTACTGCATATGTACACATGCGACTCAAAATTAATTTGATAATATTGATAGTGACTTATTCTGCATGTTTAACACTGCCCTAGTTTGCCTACTGTTCTCATAGATACCTAACCAAATTCATACCAGTAAGCTGCGTTGCCAAAAAGTAGAAATATCTTCAATAATAGCCCTAATCATGTTAACTGTGATGTGTGAAATTAGACAATTATTGTTTATCTCAAAAGTAATATGAGTATGTTCATAATAATTTTTCGTAAGTTGAATCTAGACATCATCTTCACTTTATTCATCTGTACTCCCGTCTAAAACAGCAAATGTTGCAGAATTTCTTTATCATTTTATTTTGTTCAACCTAAAGTGACAAAACGATTACACAGATGCTATTAGTATATTAGTATCTGTATGACTACATGCAAACAAACAAAAAATGTATTTTTAAGCAAATCTGTTACTGTAGTTAAAAGCTCTTGTAAATATTTTCATACATATTCTTGTACTGTAGAATATTGATGGTTCTACCTTTGTACATGCAACTATCTATTTAGCCCTTCTACACTGCCATTCAGGGAGAAATTTCTTCTAGACTACTTCCTCATCTAGGTAGAGATGTAATTAACATGACTGATAGCATAATGCCACTGATTTTTAATTGAAAAATTGTGTATTATAGACTTAAAGTCTGCATCAAAAAGTGCTATAGATAATAACAGTCAACCATGAAAGCGTAATAACTCTTTATGACTTTCTATGGATAATGAATTTTTGTTTTTATTGTTTGTCCAACATTTCACCTTTTCAGTGTTACTACTGTTTCTGAATGAATATCACCAAATGAATTCCCCAGGCTCAGAAATAGACCTCGAATCCATTGACAAACCATCATTTAGTTATCAAGAACAGTTTCATCTTTTCTTCAGTTTCTAAATGTCAATTGACTGAAGAGAGACTGGAATTTTTTTTATTTACTTTGAGCCATGCAAAGCCTCTTTAAAGAGTGAGTGAGTGATTATGGTTTTATGCTGCTTTTAGCAATATTTCAGCAATATCACGATGGGGGATACCAGAAATGGGCTTCACATCCTGTTTAAAGCAGTAAATACAACATGGAACTCACCTTGGTCTTCTAAGATGGATGTAAGCGGAATATCTTGGGAAGTACTCCACAACTGGGGCAGTGGCACTTACAATCCATTTGTTGGACCTTCCACAGTCAAAGTAAGGGGCTGTAAACAGCACTGGGAGGGACTGATCGCCATCACTCTGACTTGGCTGAGGAGGGCCAAAAAAGGATGTATCCTCAAACTCATCCTTGGTGAAGTGTCCAGTAGTATTTGAGTACTTTATGCCAACAGAATATGTAAACTTTCGCAATGAGTCTGTTTCTCCTGTTATATCTGGCATCCAGAGGGAATACCAAGGATTGGTCTTGTAGGCCGAGTTTGTGTAGTTGGAATCTCTTCCTGCTCCATAATCATGAATGTCCACGGTGTTGTTGGTTGGCTCTCGCAGAAAATTGGTTGGTTCGTTATAATCATCAGCTCTCCATGCTCTCGGTCCATAAAACGGTATGGTATTGTTAAAAGGTAAGGTAGAAAACCAGTTCGGGTAGCTGCAGTTGAAGTCAAAAAACAAGGAAGAAGCGTTCAGGAAGCCTGGACTTGCAGAAACATCAGCTGCCGCGGACATGTAGTAATACATTATGCCTGGCTGGTAACGGAAATCATATGTATTGTTTAATTTCTGATAAATAAAACTATAGAAGTAGGCTCGGTTGAGGGCCATGTTATGCATATGTAACATAGCAGATCTGTTGGAGTAGATCACAGTGCTCAACAGATTGTTGTACTTTGGGATCTGGGCTATGGTTTCCATTGGGAGAGTTAACTGTTCGGCTGGTTTGGAACGACAATTTTCTCCCGTTACAGAAGAAAACATGTCATTTATAGTGTCAAATTTGTCCGGTCTCATCCAAGAAAACGGAGCATCAGTTTCGATAGCAGGTTTGACCCATGACAGTGCGCAGAGGCCAAGAAACACCGCCAAAGTCACACGTACTAACATCGACATGGTTACCTATCTTCTCGCGAATATTTTAAGTCCACATTAGGTTAATTGTCTTCATAAACAAACCTTTTCCGCGTTGGATCAAGTATACCTGGATTCAAAATGGCGGACGACACTCACCTTATTCAAATGAGTGACGCTTTGAGCAAAGGGTCAGGTAAGCGAAATGCACAGGTGTGCTAGTAAAGTAGGTCACGGTTGACAACGACTTGCCAGCATATTACCAGAAGTAAAAAGCTGAATATTTTGTAAATCTTAGGTTTTATTTACTTCAAACCATTTTGTATTTATACATTTATTGACATTTCTGTGTTTATCATTGCACACCTGAGAGCGACGGATTTGCACATGCTTGCCGCCAGAGCGCGCTGTTAAAGCGGAACTCTTTTCATACCTGCGATGTTTGTCACAGATCTAATTATAGCTCGCCTTCTCTATGACTAACTCCATTATGTGATGATACATACTCTGTCCAGTTTTTTGGGTATAATTCCACGTTAAACGGCTCTTTGGGTGTACAGAAAACGTTCGTTAAGTCATTGGTGACACATGATTTTTCTGTATTTATTGTAAAAAAGGCATGGATATTTTGTGTCCATCTTTTAATAGGCAACACTACTGGATATAAATTTCAAAGGTCTAAAGGTCTAGAAAAACATGAGGCAGTTATTGTATCTTTTTGTCGAAGTTGTATTGTCGCGAGTTCTCACACCTGAAGGTTCCCAGGTAGCATTCAGACGTTGGCCCAACGTTGGCAATGGTTTTGCCAACATTGCCAACGTTGGGCCAACGTCCGAATGCTATCTGGGTTTATGTACATGTGGAACTTCACATTCGGTCTCCCATCCCAAATCTTGCAACAGGTAGTTGTATGTACGGGTGTCTGTGTGTACGAGGTGACTATATGCAACCAGTCACACGGGTAGCTCTCCGTGTGTACGATTTGACTATATACATAACACCCACTTACTATGGTTAACCGACCGGTTGTACGATCGATGGTGACAACATATTATAACCCCTCACAAGGAGTGAGTTTAGTTTTACGCCGCAATCAGCAATATTCCAGGTATATGGAGGAGGTCTGTAAATAATCAAGTCTGGTTATACACGGTAACTCTATATGACCCATCACAAGGACGGGTGTCTGTGTGTACGAGGTGACTCTATATGACCCCTCACAAGGACGGGTGCATGTGTGTACGAGGTGACTCTATATGACCCCTCACAAGGACGGGTGCCTGTGTGTACGAGGTGACTCTATATGACCCCTCACAAGGACGGGTGTGTGTGTGTACGAGGTAACTCTATATGGCCTTTCACAAGGACGGGGGTCTGTGTGTACGATTATATATAGACACCTCGTGCATATGAAGACCCGTCCCTGTGAAGGGTTATATAATATAGTGAGTGAGTATGGTTTTACGTCGCTTTTTAACAGCAATATTAGAGTAATATCACGGCTGGGGACACCAGAAATGGGTTTTACACGCACATTGTGCTAATTTGTGGGGAATCTCGTACACACGAAGACCCGTCCTTGTGAAAGGTTATATAATATAGACACCTCGTACACACGAAGACCCGTCCTTGTGAAGGGTTATATAATATAGACACCTCGTACACACGAAGACCCGTCCTTGTGAAGGTTTATATGATATAGACACCTCGTACACACGAAAACACGTCCTCGTGAAGGATTATATAATATAGACACCTCGTACACACGAAGACCTATCCTTGCGAAGGTTATATAATGTAGACACATCGTACACACGAAGACCCGTCCTTGCGAAAGGTTATATAATATAGACACCTCTCACACACGTCCTTGTGAGGGGTTATATAATATAGACACCTCGTACACACGAAGGCCAGTCCTTGCGAAGGATTATGTAATATAGACACCTCGTGCAAATGCCTTTGTGAAAGGTTATATAATATAGACACCTCGTACACACGCAGAACCGTCCTTGCGAAGGATTATATAATATAGACACCTCGTACACGCGTTCTTGTGAAGGGTTACATAGACACCTCGTACACACGTCCTTGTGAAAGATTACATATAGAATCACCTCGTACACACGAAGACCCGTCCTTGTGAAGCGACGCATCCACGTGTTATCCAACGACTGGCGGACTGTCACAATGCTTGAGCTCGATTTTGTAGAGCCTAGTTTCAGATAATTAGATCTCGTGCTCTTTTCGATCGTCAACGTTTTTGGGTTGTTATCGCTTGTTCCACCGCCTGTATTTCTTATTATAGCTAAAATACATGGCATTATCATGAAACGGCCGTCCCATTATCAGAAATTTGCGGGCCGCTGCAAATGATATTGGACCGCTCAACCTTAACGACGGGCCACTATCAGTTCTGTTGTCAACTGACGTCATAGTGGGTGCGTGGGCTTACGGTTCATTCGACATTAATTGGCTTTCGACTGGAAGATATTCTGGGTCAAACAAGTCAAAGCAACCCGAATTCCCGCTTTAAATAGTGGTAATATTGGCTTTCTTGTTGGTGCTAACCTTAACAATTGCATTATTAAGGCTGTTGATGGACCAAAACCGAACACGGACGTAGTTTGACATGTTGCAGGCTATGGTCTTGTCAAAGGCCAAGGTCGAATATCGTCACTTTCTGTTGTGACGTCACTTGAATTGTTCGATGACGTAATTGCATTCGGGCAGTCAACCCCGTCAAAAGTTGATTTTGGTAAACTTACAGTCAAATTCCTTCATTGTTTCCTTTTTCTTTTCAACACAAATTCCATGTAGTTTAGCAATAATAACGGTAATGCTATTTTTGAGGGTATTATCATTTGCAGAAGCCCTCGGGCTTTTTCAACTGCCCTCCTTCGTCGGGCAGTTAATGGAAGACCTCGGGCTTCTGCAAATGATAATGCCCTCAAAAATAGCATTACCCTTATATTATATCTAAAATACATGGAATTATCATGAAACGGCCCTCCTGTTATCAGAAATTTGCGGTCCGCTGCAAATGATATTGTACCGCTCAACCTTAACGACGGGCCACTATCAGTTCTGTTGTCAAGTGACGTCATAGTTCGACATTAGTGGCTTTCGACTGGCAGATATTCTGGGTCAAACAAGTCAAAGCAACCCAAATTCCCGCTTTAAATAGCGGTAATATTGGCTTTCTTGTTGGTGCTAACCTTAACAATTGCATTATTAAGACTGTTGATGGACCAAAACCGAACACTGTCATAGCTTGTCATGTTGCAGGCTATGGTCTTGTCAAAGGCCAAGGTCGAATATCGTAATTTTCTGTTGTGACGTCACTTGAATTGTTCGATGACGTAATTGCATTCGGGCAGTCAAGCCCGTAAGAAGTTGGTTTTGGGTAAACTTACAGTCAAATTCCTTCATTGTTTCCTTTTTCTTTTCAAAACAAATTCCATGTATTTTAGCAATAATAACGGTAATGCTATTTTTGAGGGCATTATCATTTGCAGAAGCCCTCGGTCTTTATCAACTGCCCTCCTTCGTCGGGCAGTTAATGGAAGACCTCGGGCTTCTGCAAATGATAATGCCCTCAAAAATAGCATTACCCTTATAACAGAGAAGTGCTTGGATAGTCTGATTTGGAGCCACTGTGACGTTACATACATATGACGTCACTGTCATTGTGACACCTTCTCCTGTGATGTAACAATAACATTCCTTGGTGATAGCCTTCTGTCAGTGATCGTACACAAAGAATAGTGACTGCATTTATGCACAGACAGAGACATGTATCATTCTGTGAAGTAAGTCTGTTACAATAATAATATTCATCAAAGCAGAATATATACAGATGTAGTTAAGTTTTAGTGGGTTTTTTTGCTCAACTGAATAAAAATCAAGCGAGATTATGTCGTGGTCTGTTTGTCGTCAGACGTAAAAGTCTTCTTTTCAGAAACCGCTGAAACCAAGAAACTGAGATTCCACATGCGTGTCTCACGGAGTATGAAATTCCAATTTGTCTAAGACACGTAGCCATAGTTATAAAAATATGTATAGCCATTACAGTAGTCGGTCATTTTTATCCAAAAGTTTATGAAATTTGGTACATGTGCACCTAGTTATGGAGTTCAACATATATGTTCCGTTGTTGTGATATGTTCAGTTTGGACACTTGCACGTTGACAATTGTAAGACCCTTTTTTCACTGACAATCTTGCTTGCACGTTGACAATTGTAAGACCCTTTTTTCACTGACAATCTTGCTTGCACGCTGACAATTGTAAGACCATTTTTTCACTGACAATCTTGCTTGCACGTTGACAATTGTAAGACCATTTTTTCACTGACAATCTTGCGAAGTGGTGGAGTAGCCAAGCGTTCGCTCGTAAGGGCGAAGACCCTAAATTTCTCACATGGTCACTCCGAGTGAAGCCCATTTCTGGGCCTAGATCTTCGAAGCTCTCTTAGCGCTAAGATAGTCGTAACTGCCATACACTAACATTACTTACGACTATCTTAGCGCTAAGAGATTCGAAAATCTAGGCCCTGGAGTCCATTGCAATACTATATATTTTACTTACGTTGCTGTAATATTGCTAAAAGTACTTCTTATTCAACCACTCTGGAAATACGCTCTCCTGAAAAACAAAATGCTTTGATTTATGTTTTAGCAACCAGGAAATCATCATTTCCCATTATTCTATATAGTTCTATAAAATAAACTGTCATGCAGAATATATAATGAGAGATTATAAACACGTGCTAACTGTCACTATAAAATACACGGCAAATGGTACATGCAAAATGTTAAAGACAACATACCAAGCATAACCACCAAAGATGAAAATGATCACAGTGAAGCAGCTGATCACATAAAAATTCTCAATGTCTTCAGCTGATCATTCGCTCAACTCACTTAATTACCCATAAGTACGTTGTTTTACAAGGTAGTCGTTGATAATGTTTCACATTTAAATCAAGGGTTGTGTCACAAATGACTTATATGTTATTAGTCTTCATAATTGATTTGCATAAATTTGCATATTTTTACCTGCCAATTTAGCGTGGAAACATTCTCTCTAAATCGCGGTTATCTCCCTTATTTAGCGACCTCCTATTGGGTTTTACAAAACGTTAATTTCGGAAATAACTTTTACAACAGAACCCTTGAATCTGTGCTGAAAGATCTCTGATGATACATGTATAGTACAACACTATCATTGTTTATAAAATAATGACGAGTCTATTAGATGTGTAACTTCTGTTTAGAAACATTCACACTCGACATGACATATTCATATTCCGTTTCAGATTTTGCTAATTTGATAAACGTCCGCGGGATCATATGAAAAATTAAGGTTGAAATGGTATTCTTAGCAGGTATGAAAACGCGCAATGAATGTTTTGCATTAAGACTTATTATTCATCAATCTGACAACATTACACTCCCAACATTTTTTTGGATAACAGCGAGTGTAATGCTGTGATCAAATGCTACCTCCCGTGACATAACTTTACATCGCCTTCATCAAGAACCAACAATGGCAACCATAACTGTAAACAATAATTCCTGTGTTGTCTCATTTCGCTTTTGCAAGTGCATTTTGTGTTTGTCGTGCACTCCCCAGGGAACATGCCGCCTAGGTGTGCAGTGCATATAAGTGATACTGTTCTCGAAGTAGAAATTTAAAGAACAAAGAAATATTGTAATTGTCTGTTCGCGGCCTATCCTGCAGGTTCCATCATTGGGAGTATGAATGGTGGTTGCGTAAGACCTAACGCAACAAGGTAGGTACCGGCATAAGTCTGTATGATGACAAATAATCATGGTGCTGGACACAGCTATTACCGTACGTGTTGTGGACGTGCTCTCTCATTGCATTAGGGTGTTATAATTAGTCCTGAATAATATATGAGATTATTGAAACCTTGGTTGTAAACACGCCAGGTAAACATAAGTCTGTAATTATCCCATAGTTTATAGTTCCACCTGACTTGATGTGCACAGTCAGGTAGTAGTTGGTAGGGAGGTTGTCAGTTCAGGTGAATCACCATACCAGAACTCCAGATAAGATTTAGCTCATGTGGGTACTGTACCCACTGTATTTTTTTGGAGTGGGTATTATGAATGTTGAGAGGGTATTTCATTTTCCGTTACCCACTGCTTTCAAATATGTGTGTATTTCAAGTCATTTTACTCACCTAAGAATATGTCATTGAGTAAATTTACTAAGCCAGTATGTTCTGCCTCATGTCATACCTAATCAAAACCAACTTAAATATAATGGAAATGATTTCATAAAAAATCACTCATCCTATACTGACAGTACAACACTTCTCCTATACTAACAGTACAACTTGATAACAATCGATGTCTTTTTCATTATGCAAGCGATTTTTATAAATATATTCTGTACGCATTTGTTTTAAACTTTCTGCGTATCTAACATTTTAAATGCGTAATTGGTACGCAACAATTATTTTTCAAATCGGTAATTGGAAATTTTCTATGCATATTTTACCCGGATACACGGCTTATCTGGGCCTCTGCCATACACAGTCTCAAATGCTCATATTATGGAGTTTTGTATTTCTCTGTTTACAATATTGGATATATGTTTATGTGAGATCCATTATATATTCTGTGAGATCCATTTATGTGAGATCCATTATATATTCTGTGGAAACTTATATTTCCTGAAGGTATGTACAACAGTTTTATTTTCAGTGTTCAAGTCAATGTAATTTGGAGAAAAACTTACTTTGTTTTTGATTTAAAGTCTTTGAACTTAAGATTCAGTGACTTGAGAAAAATTGAGAAAACAGTGTAGCAAATGTCAATCAAGTTAATATTTAGTGAAAAAACCCATTAGGAACAGAAGCATTTAATAGGGTCGGTCAGGTTATCGTAACCTCAAGATTTTGTATGTAAGGCTTTACCAGCATAGTCATGTCTGTCATTTTGTATTTTAAGATGAACTTAAATTGATGACAGAAGTAAGGACTTTTCAAATATAAAATACACCATTATCCTGTTAATAGTGAAAGATGCCAAATATTAATAAATTCTACTGGTCAAATGTGTACCTCAACCGCCATTCATTTTGATTTGGAGTGGTCACAGGTGGCCAAACTGTCACAGGTCCTGCAATTTGCTGTGCAGCATTCTGTGGGCACACCAGAAACCTATGATCGAGGTGCAAGTCCCAGTTAATTTCCTGATGGTTTAGTTTTGATTGACCTCTGAATGTGCTGTTGTTTAAAACTAGGCCTGTGTATTGTCAAATAATTTGTACTGCAATATATTACAATTCTAGTACTCATATTGCCATACCTATAACGATTATGTTAGGAGCTAAAGCGTTGGACACTAAGTGACATTGATTGTACATGCAAAGTGTATTTTCTACATACTAAAGCCCTATAAATAAATATTATGGTTGTGATAACAGAAATCTCAAATTTAGATTTTATTTTGAGGGATTCTATTTTCTTTGTTATAAAATTTATTGTTTGTAAAGTATGCTGTTTTATCAATGAAATACAATGGAAACCTTTAGTATGAATGTGTAGATCTTAACTTAAATCATAAAGATAATCATAAAACTTGATATACTTTTGTAAACAAATATGCCAGTTCTGAGAAAAAACATTGCAATATGTATGGTTTTAAAGGATTACTGCGATATACCGATATGCTGGTAATACCATGCAGTCCTATTTACGACATTTAAACAAATGTTAAACAAATAATATTTGTAAATGTAGGTAAATTGTTGGTGGTATGCGGTTGTGCGATTGTGCAAGTTACGTCCCCTTTCGGCGGAAGTGAAAGGAGCACATGGCATAATAGATGTGATGCGATGCGGTGCCAGTTGTGACCTCGTGATGTGTGTGATTCTCCTTGCGATTGATTGTAGTTTCAAGCTGACATGTGCGATTTGCGATGTTTTTTAGATCTTCAATGTTTTTACGAGGCCACGGCAGGTCTCGTGAATAAACTATTGGATATCAAGCTGTGTTGCGATCTATGATCATAGGATAAGTTTTGTCCAACGACAGACAGTTACAATATTTCAGGTAACTTGCGTACATTCAGACATTTTTCTGGTAAGATAAATAGATGTGATGGTTATCATTTTGTGATTTCAGTATGGACCGTGAAGAGGAAGTAAAGAAAGCCTTATCTGATTTCCTGCAGGAACACAACTTGCATGATGCTGTCAGGTAAAGAGTATCTGTGTATATAAGATTGCACTGCTATAATTTGTAAAGAGCAATAATGTTTGTTTTTTTAGAGACTTGTGTGCTGTTGCCCCTGTAGATAGCAAGGCAGATGAACGCTTGTTCACTTTACTGACGTCATTAAAGAGGCTGCAATTATTGCTGAAATCTCAAAAATGAAGTGAAAGACTTGTGGTTGTATATTGCCCAAAGAACCACTCGGGGCGTAGTTAGCCAATAGCTTGGTACTCTGCTAGCTGACTGGTGTACTTTGTTTCCAGCTGTGTGGATGATATTGTGCTGACATATCTCCTGAGTATCCTCGATGAACTGGGAGATGCTGACAACACTGAAGACAGTGTGGATGCTGAACACTTCTGTGAAATGATGGCAGCTTACATGCCAGGCTTTGAGAACATCAACAGGTACCATTACATTTTTTGTTTTTAATTTAGATTTTATATTTCCTGACTCCCTGTTACAGGCTTGACAGGTGTTTGTAAGGTATCATTACATTACCATGGTTACTGTCCATAGATGCTTCAGTCTCATTCAAGACTCTCCTGCTACCATTCCATTATAGTCATGTCAGAATGACCTTCCAGTCAACATTCAATCATTACCATCATCTGTCTCTTGCTTCAAATTACAAACATTCATAAGGGATGAGATTTTGCTTAGCTGTGAGAAATATTACCCTACAATATTGCCATAACAGATGCCAATGTGTGACCATCAGGAACAAGACATCAGTCAGCGTTACCGTACCACACGGTGTGCCACAAGGCTCCGTATTGGGTCCACTGTTGTTTGTTCTGTACACTGGTCCAGTTGCTGACATCATCTCAACTCACAATCTGCAGCACCATTCATATGCAGATGATCCCCAACTCATCAAGGCAATTTCTTGCAAAAATCCGTCTGACGGTCTAGCTGGAATTTCTGACTGTACAAGACACATCAAATCTTGGATGACAAATCATATGCTGAAACTAAATGACACCGAAGCTCTTCTGATTGGATCCAAACAACTGCTGTCGAAAATCCCTACCAGATCTGTGACAATAGCTGATGCTGTCGTCCCTGTCTGTTCCACTGCATAAGATCTGGGTATTGTCCTCGACTCCTCACTTTTCGATGGAAGCTCAAGTCTCTCAGATCTGCAAAACCTGCCACTTTCACCTTCGTCCCATCAGTAACATCCGTCCCCTATCTCTCAGTGGATGCTACCCATGCCTTGGTCAGAGCCCTCATAACCTCAAGATTGGATTATTGCAACAGTGTATTGTTTGGCATTCCTCAGAAACTCTGTGACACTCCAGAAAATCCAAACCACTTCTGCCCGCATCATTTATCGTCACCCTAAATGCTGCCATATCAAGCCAGTACTGAAGGAGCTTCACTGGTTGCCCATCAAAGCCAGGATTTAGCATAAGATACTGTGTCTGACCTACAAAGCCAAGCATGGTCTTGCTCCCCAGTACTTGTCTAACATGTTGTCATCATACTCCAGTTCACGCAATCTTCGTTCCAACAGCCAGGATCTGCTCACTGTGCCCAGCTTCAGACTGAAATTTTTTTGACAGCATTCTTTCACCTATGCAGCCCCTACTCTCTGGAACTCCCTTCCTCATGACCTCAAAACTATTGACAATTTCGACTTGTTCAAGTCCAGACTTAAAACCTACTTCTTCCAGCAGTATCTCCCTGAATGTGCTCTAGTATTACTTCTGTACATATGTACATACTTGACTCTGTAGCGCCTTGAGCATGTCTGTCGAGGTGGATTGGGCGCACATATAAATATGCATTATTAGGTCTTCAGATGAAAATCTGGAAGACCTACTGTTATTATCCGAATATTATTATTATTTGTACAAATTTTGTACCCGCTCTCCTGAACTAACCATTGGGGCGATTTTCATGAAACGTTCAGGGATGATAGCCTGTGTTTAAAAATCTTCTTCTCCAGAACGGCATATACCGTATATTACCGTCTATAAGACTACCCCATAGATAAGACGACCCCCAAACTTGACCCTCAAAATCAGTCTCAAAATCATATCTCTCATAGATAGGCCACCCCACCCCTCCCCTCCCCCACCCCCCACTCCGCGATGGGTCGTGGCCAACAGAGACCAGACCAAAGGCATCTTGGATATAAAATGTACCGTATGTATGTATGAATATTACATAATAAAGATTACCGGTATATTGTGGAAACCTGTGTTTGTTTTCCTTTTTATATCCCAACGATCACTGCTTGCATCAACGACGAGACGCCATTTTGTGAAATTGAAAATTGGATATAGAACGTAAGTATATTTGGTGAGCATATTTCATAATAAAGATTACCGGTATATTGTGGAAACCTGTGTTTGTTTTCCTTTTTTTATCCCAACGATCACTGCTTGCATCAACAACGAGACGCCATTTTGTGAAATCGTTGAGTATAGAAATGTGAACCCAAGAGAAAAAGTACCCTCGGTAAATAAAAACTGAAGTCAATTTTTGATTCTAAACATATTATTTATATGTCCATTGAGAAGCATATGTGTCCATATTTCATGAAGCATGTATATATGTATATATATATATAACAATAAGAAAAATAATATATGTTATCGGTGTCCATTCACAATAAATACTGACATTTCATGAAGCATGTAAGAGAGTTCTGACATTTTGTTTACAAGTCACTGGCCGTAAATCTTTCGAATTCAGTGTCACTGTCCTCGTCCTTGTTTTTGACCACAACAAAGTCAGCAACATTTACCAATTATCTCTCTTTTTGTATATGCCTGTATATATTGCTCAATTCCTTTGCTTTGTTTGACTGTGCATTCCTGTTTGTTAAAATCCTGGTTTTCCAATGGCCAAGTTGTTGTTGTTGAGTTCGGTTTTACATCACATCGGCGTTATTCCAGACATATAGTGACGAGATCAAGTCCGAGTTTTACAAATTTTAAATACAAAGTCCAAAAAAGAGTTGTTTTTAACATATTACATTACTATTTACAAGTGAAGAATGACAGAGCACCAAACTCAAAAACAAGCAATCTGTGACTCACATTACATAGTTATAATTTATGGTACAGGTCAACTTCCCTCAGGTAGCTAACAATCAGATGCCCGCTCACGAGGGAAAACAGATCTTTCAGATTTCAGATTGAATCTCTTGCACGCAGTCAAGCAGTATATGCTTGATGGTGAACACTTTATCGCAAGAGACACACACGAGGTCCATCCCCATCCGTTTCCAGCAGATAGTCATGAGTTGCCAATTGCTGGCTTTCCAATGCCCAAAGAGCAATGCGCTTTTGGTAAAAACTGAGACTCCAGCAGTTTGTTTACCGGTCTGACTGTGCCAGGATCGCTCGAACCCTTTCTGCTACATCATCATGATTGCAGGAATCCAGCACATAAACGCACAATATCCTATACATTTAAAACAGAATAAAACTTCACACACAAAACTGCAGCCATGGCAGTCGTACTTTCAAATCATCTTAACTGCACAACAGAAATTTTGAATGGGTGTTTCACAAATGCACAATATACACATTAATTTATGGCTGTTTCACACAAATGCAATATATGCACATTTATATTCTATGCGTCAGATAGCTAGGATCATGGCGATTCCAGAACACTAATCGTTTTGGCCGTAGACCCAAGGACAGTGGAGCTACGGCCTGTTAAAGAGAGAACTATTTCTTCTCCGGAACTATTTGACCCTCGTGACCCTGACCGCTGTATTTGAAAGATCCGCCCTCGTGTCAAAAACGTGTTCTGGCTGTGTTTTGGACGGTTTCTAGCCCTTAAATATACTTCAAACACCCGTTAACTCCGAGACCAACCGTCCGATCAATGCCAAATTCATCTCACAAACACTGTAATGGACGCTCCAGCTGGCGTCTAAAGAAACAGTACAAGTGAAGGTAGCCACGGGAGTGTATGGGGAAGTCTGAACACCGTCCAGGAGGCAATCCTAGTTATTATCCCCCGCAACACGTTTTGCGGGGGGTATTAAAATGGACTCCTTCGGTGCGTCCGTCCGTTCCGTCCATGCACATTTGTCTTTTCCGGAGCAGAACTCTAAAACCGTTCAATATTTCTTCACCAATCTTGGCACATAGATAGATCTGGTGGAGTACTGGTGCCTTTTGGTAGTTTTGAAATTCTGAATAAAACATTTTTGGCGTTTCCATGGCAACAAGTTCGACTTAGAATGAAATTAGTGGTAGTGCTCTTTTCCTGAGCAGAACTCTAAAACCGTTCATTATTTCTTCACCAAACTTGGCACATAGATAGATCTGGTGGTGTACTGGTGCCTTTTGGTAGTTTTGGAATTCTGAATAAAATATTTTTGGCGTTTCCATGGCAACAAGTTTTGACTTAGCCTGAATTGGTGGTTGTGCTCTTTTCCGGAGCTGAACTCTAAAACCATTCACTATTTCTTCACCAAACTTGGCACATAGACAGATCTGGTGGTGTACTGGTGCCTTTTGGTAGTTTTGGAATTCTGAATAAAATATTTTTGGCTTTTCCGTGGCAACAAGTTTGACTTAACCTGAAATTGGTGGTAGTGCTCTTATCCGGAGCAGAACTTTAAAAACCTTTCAATATTCTCCTTCCACTTTTTTATATACACACCTAAATATTTGACATAATCATAACTCGCAGACATAATCATGAAGAGTATTTTGCCATTGCGGGGGATATTGATGACTTTGTCTTCTTGTTATTATTATTACAATCTTGGCTGTCTATTAGACTTCCCTGAATTCTTTTTCAGCAGAGGTACTCATACGTATTTTTATGTCTATTAATTCCTATGACAGTTGTAACTATATTTTGAATAAAATATTTATAAAACAAAAAAACACCCCTGCAGGGGACTGCAGGCCTGCAACCAAGAGAAGGTAACTCTTACCTCGCAAATCACTCTCCATGCTGTCGTTCACATGGCGAAGACATGCGTGCTGTCCAAAGAAACTTTTTTCAAGTTGAATTCCAAGAAACAAAGGCAAAGATGAGTGAGAAAGAAACATATACTGTATGTTTGGTTCTTTTCTAATCACATTGGCGATATACTGAACGCGTTTCGAAAATATTTAATTCATTAATGCTGTAACTTTTCTGTCGCCTCACCACAAGATGGCGGATGGGGCATCCTAGTTTCCCTTTTTCTATGTGCGTTTTCACTTGAATGGCTTGTAAGCTTTAGATTAGAGATTGTTGTTGTGTTTTATAATTACATCGCAATATATTTATGTTTTGTGACACGTCATCGCGTCTAGCTTGTACTTTTTGTTGTTGAGGATGTCACATGGCGAGTGATCTTTGTCTGTACGATCGCTACTAGTTGAATATCGTGCAATCGATTTTTGCAAGTTATGTTGCATTTTGTGTTATTTATTTTTGCCAAATTCTCCACTTCAAGCTACGTGTTTGACAAGATGGCAGATATGGCGAGCGACATGCTACATTCTTCTACATGTTTACATGTTAAGTTGATGTTGCTGCGTTGCTTTTATGTTTTGTTTTGCTTAACAATATATAATTATGGCCCTTGTGTTAATTATCACCCTTGATTCTTCATTGGTCTACTCTCATCTGGCTATTGACAACATTCGTAGCTGTGCCAGTCAGATGTTGAGTGCGGTAATGGTTCTGCGTTGTTTGTGGATGTCTATGTCCCATTACTCCCCAGCTACACAACAGGAACTACTTTCACTTCCCTACAAGATGCGTTCTACTCTCTTCCCTGGGGCTTTAAAGGAGTCCGAGAGGCGGTTATCACTTATAAGGAATCTAAACCTTTATGAGAGCAACCCCTCCTCTCCCCCACCCTCACCCCCACTACTCGTGCACTGCCCTCGACCCTTGCTACCTTACATCCCCCCACACCAGGGAGAGGGTCTGCTAAGTGGAGTGCTCCAGCAGCCTATTCGTGTGATAGGATAAGTCAGCCATGGCTTCCCATCAGTAAATATCCTTCGGGTGCCCTTGGTGACCCCGGCAGACGACATCTCGCCGGCTTCAGGGGTTGACTGCCTTCTGACACATATCCCTGTTGGCAGCCAGAAAGCCACCTCAAATCCCTGGGTCCTGTCCACATTCAGGGATGGCCATTTGCCACATTGGAAGCCAGATGCACCGTCATTCTCTGGAGTACTCCATGCCGAGATCCAGTCTCTACTGGACAAGGCAGCCTTTGAGACGGTTCCAAAAGGTCGGGAAAACATGGGGTTTTACTCCACATATTTCAGTGATCTCTTCTGTCGAGGCAGGGGAAGGACTCATACCTCCATGTACCAATGCAGCCCCATTTCCAGAAGGTTCTCCTTTGACAGGAAGTGCTACCAGTTTTGTGTGCCAAGGGTGTTTCCAGCTCAGGTCGCCAGATCGCAGGGCAGGTGTTGTCACCCGTACCTAGACAACTGGCTCTAGTCAAACAGTTGAGTTGGGAAGCCACACAAACAGTGTCAGACATTCTCACAAACTGGGCTGGATTGTGAAACTCAAGAAGTCAGAACTGGTTCTGATGCAGGATCTGATCTTTCTTGGAGCCAGATTCAATACCAAGCAGGGCCTTGTCTACCTGTCTCTAGACTGAAAAAAAACTGTTAAGGTCCAGAGGACAACTCTTCAGTTCCTTGATTACCCCAGAGTTCAACAAGGACATGGCTCTAGTTGCTAGGAAACATGGCGGTGACAGTGGACATGGTGTGGCGTTGCACGTTTGAGGATGAAACCCATACGGCAAGCCTTGGCACAGCTGTGGTCCCATTCAGAGAGCCAAGAGAAGATTCTCGAGATGCCAGGGTGGTTTATTCCTTACTGTCAGTGTTGGAGAGATGTCGGGAATCTCTCCAAGGGGTTCCTCCTGGGAACCCCTACGTCGAGACTCTTGATTCAAACAAATGCATCCATCACGGGTTGGGGTGGTCAGCCATTTTGATCCGAGAGTGAGGCCAGCCTGCACATCAATGTGCTGTAATTGAGAGCAGTCAGGTTCATGGAGCAGGTTCAAAGCCAGGTGGTGCATCTAGAGATGGACAACCAGACGACAATAACCTATATCATGAAGCAGGGAGGCATGATGTCATCGTCACTCCTACAGGAGGCGTGGCAGTTTCTGCTTTGGTGCGATCAGTATTACATACGGGTGATGCCTCCTTACCCTCTCCAGAGATAGACAACATTCAAGCAGATGCGCTCTCTCTATGCATACACGAGCCCCACACGAGTGGATGCTCGATCTGGACATATTCAGGATTATCTCCCAGTTGTAGGAGTCATTCCAGGTGATCAGTTTGCCTGATCCGATCTGGGGGCATTAACTTCCGACACCTTCGAGTGCGATTAGACGGACAGGGAACTGGGCTTTCCCACCAATACCACTGATACCCAGGCTTCTCTTGCAGCTAGCACCCATGAAGATTCAGGATAGAATACATCTTCAGCAACCCATGCTTGCCACAAAAAGGCGACTATGCTTGTCGCAAGACGCGACTAACGGGATCAGGTGGTGAGGCTCTAGTTGATGCAGATCTAGTTGAAGTACTGGAGTTCTTTCAAGCCAGCCTCGTCACTTCCACAGTGAAGTGACTCCGTGGCTATTTCATCATTTCATATACCTGTTGATGGTGCACTTCTGGGGCAACACCCTCTTGTACAGTGTTTCCTAGCAGGCATGGACAGGACCAGACCGACTATCCAACAGATCAGCTCTACATGGGATTTGTCAATCATTTGCTGTCCGGTCCTGTATTTCACAATCTGTCCTTGAATGAATGTGTCCTTTGAAGACACATGCTAACACCAATGGTCACAAGCCGTGAGTCCCTTTACCTTACTTGTCAGCAGTGATTCTCTTACTTTATAATATTTATACAATGTATATATACAGAGTGAATGTAGCCCCATATGTTATCGACTTGTTCAGTTTCAGATACATGCATGTCAACGACATCTTACTATGGGAAATGGACCCAACACTATAGTTTAACACTCACTCAAATATTGATATATCCAATTACCTCTGGTACCGGTTTTGAAGAATATGCTGTAGTCAGTTTCTAAAAGGATTTTAAGCCACAGGGTTTGTTTGTAGTTGTTTTCTCATGTCTCAACCTATTGTTGCAGTGTTGGTGTGTGGGAGTGGATGTTTTCACTGTCCAGCAAGCTGGCTGCAGAAAGTAAAGGTAGTTATCCTGACAGCAGGCAGCATGGCTGTGGTATCTACTTGTCTTCATCTCTTCAACACACTTTAAAATTTGATTACCAAGACATGTCAGTAATCATTCTTCAATGAACATCATGCCCTACAAATAATGAAATCAAATCCAAAGAATCTTTGTTCATGCTCGATATCATTTCCGGCAACACTTGCAGTCTATAACATGCGACTTCCACTTCACCAAGTTCAGTGTTTATCACATAACCACGAAAGGAATTTAGTGGTTTTATTATTCTTGTTACAAGTTCAGTGATGTATCAGTCCACCTTGACCAGGTCATTGACATTGATTGCAGTTAACTGGGTAGCCATGTTTACGATTAGACAATTTTTTATTGCAAAACACGTTAAGTAAACAACGCCATATTGTTAATGAAGCATTAAATAAGCATCAAATTTAAAATCCTGTATGCATGTTGTTGTTTTTGTTCTATTTTAAAATCTCGAATCAGTGCAATTACGGCATGGTCAATTCATCAGTGAATCGATGAAATATTATGAATGAACGTCGTGGTGTGAAAGTAGTTCCGAGATCCAATGAAAATGTACAAATATACGATCGACCAATCAACGTCAAGAATCACTAAATTGCACACTGCAAATATCAAAAAGATATTACACGGGATCTCATCACCCTTATGGCTAAAAAATATGCATCCTCACTTCTCTCAGGAATGTTTCACAAGTTGTATAATGAATGTCCACTGTTACTCAGAAGAGAAGGAGACCATCCCATCCTCCAGCACTGTGGACACAGGGGATGGTGACAGTCTGGCTGTTAGCAGGAAGGCAACAGGGGAAGTTGGAAGGACAACGACCAGACACAGGGACAGGGACAGTCAGTCAGACGGGGAAGACATGAAGGTTTGTGTCAACTAAACAGCAATAGCAAAAGATCCAGAACAAATGTCATTTAAACTGTATTCCAGAAAATCCCAAAACTTTGGAAATGTCTGTTGCTTGATTATCTGTAAAGCAAAAATATCAGGATGAAAATGACCATAAGCAGTTACTGGACAACCAGTCCACTGTAATACAATCAGCATGTGTATGGTTGTTTCAAGTCAACATGGAACATGGTCAAGGATAATACTGTAGCAAGGGCAAACAGTATGGAAAATCAGAATGGTTAGTCATCTAAACCAGGCCCTGATTTCTTGAAACAAACTTAAGTCTTTACTCCAATTTAAAACTGAGTTTGACAAATTGAAACAGCTGAATTTTTAACTCAGCTGCATTTTTATAATGAAAAAGCCCAAACAACTTAAGTATCCTATTCACAAAACTCAAATTGTCTGCTATGTTTGAGTTTATTATCGATTTCAGTTCATGCCGGGAAATGCATTTTCTCAAATTTGAGTAAAAACTCTAACTTAAGTCAAAACTCAGACTTAAGTTTGTTTCGAGAAATCGTGGCCAGATCCTAGTTCTTGCCATCACTAAACAAAAATCTGAGGACTTAACGTTATGGGGCACTTCAAGACATCCTTTTGCAAACTTTGACTGACCAATGAAATGACTTACAGGAAGTTGAATGAGCATATCTTGAGTTTTATGGCCCAGGTTTTAAACTGGTGACTTCAATTCCAGACAACTCTTAGAAAAATATCACTTCTTACTTTCAAAACTGAACGAAAAGACCTAGTACTACACATTGAAGCATGGTGTAGACAATGATTTTGACAGTATCAAGGTTGCATGTTTGGAAAAGTCTTCCCCTTTCCTAATCTGGTAAGTAATGCCGTCATTGGTTGGACTGACTGACTGACTGAGTTTGGTTTTACGCCGCTTTTAGCAATATTCCAGCAACATCACGGCGGGGGACACCAGAAATGGGCTTCACTCATTGTACCCATCATTGGTTGGATGGTTTGACATGACTTGTGCTTGGATGTCCTCAGCTCTGTATTAGTTTTAGTGAGAACTAAATCTGATTTCGATAAGATTGGAGTTTAACTGACAGTTTCAGGCCATTAAGCGGAAACCAGTATGTTTGATAGAACACTCATGTACATTTTATGAGTTGTGATGAGAATCATATCATTGAGAAGAGTCATATATCAGTGCACATGTCCTTATGCAAGGTATCTAAATACCTAAATGCTGAACCTGAACGGTTCCTCTTCACAGCTCATTAATCAGTGTTACCTCCCCTTGTACTAAGCTTTCCTCTCATAAGAAATCTGCTAAAAATGTTTGCACAGGGAAAGGCAAAGCAGACTTTCGTGGATGTAAAGATTCATGGGTGTAAACGTACAAATAAAAGAAATATTTATTTATTAATATATATAGAATATTTCTAATCCTGATACAACCTATCGCAAACGTATAACAAAGTTGGTGTCATGGTCAGTAGTTAGTGATGTAGATCTGTCAATAACCTGGACCAGGTTACTAGACTTAGCTAGATTAGCTTGATGAGTGCCCCATCTTCACTAGTCCTGTATCATCTGTCACATCACATCAACTGCTGCACTTACACCACTAATCCGAACTGGCAAAGGTTTCTGCTTCCACTACCAAAACAGGAAGATAGTAATACCGTCTAACGATATGTACACACTACATGAAATGACAGGAATGTTGTCAGTTATGGCCAGAAATCCCGAACAGTTGACATGCCCATCCTGCTGGTGATAGCTTGATCCTACACGGACTTTCCTATTGTCTGCTTTTGAAGACGAGGCTTGGCTCAAAACAAAAAGCTGGATATTTCCCAGCATGGTAAAAGATTATGCACCTAATCCTTGTATTTTCCACATCTGACAAGGCTGCAACACATAGATAATACACATGCTTGTATGCAGTAAGTGGTATATAATAGTAATGAAAGGTTTCATTGACAGCCACAACAGTTGTTGCTAGATCACAAACTGAGAGGTAACTGAATATATTTTTTGTCTCAGCATTTTGCCAACCATGTGATAAAAATATATCACAAATATGGGTAAGTCAACTAATTGGTTGCAGTATTATCATATGTAGAAATGAAGAAAGGATTACTTAAACATTACACATTTAGAATCCAACTTTTTTAGGGAAATTAAATGGACTAGCAAACACTAGTGTTGAATCTTGACAAGGGAAGAGAAGATTTTGGGCTGTGACCTGGAGGGTGGTCCCAGACAAAGATGCATGTTTGGGGTTCCATATTATGGAACGAAAAAAATGTTGCAATAGGAGGTTGTATCAGGATTAGAGATTATCTGAGCTTTTTCTTCTAGAAAGTAACCCGTACTTGAAGTGAATGTTGTGACTTTCTCCCCAGCCATCTGTATCAGACGGAGGTGTGAGAGAGTTTGACAGCCAGGTGGTGCTGCTGTGTGAGATGTTCCCAGACACATGTGCAATGGAGGCTAGGCACTGTCTCTCTGTGTCACATGGACAGATAGACGAGGCAGTCCAACTTATTCTCCACAGACAAGAAACTGGAAACTCTATCATCGAACAAGGGGAGACAAATCGACCTGTGAGAATTTACCTTTTTGTCAGTGTTTGGCTAAGAAAATGTATGGAGATGGTTCTAATTCTTGCCCTTAAACTGTATGGATACATTACAAAAGTGTTGTTTTATTAAACTCAAAGGAATACAAATGTGAATCTTTCAAATTGAGTTGAATCTTTTTATGCCTTGATTTGTCATAGTTACATCTTGTTTTGTCATAATGATTTCTTGATTTGTCATGTTGATGCCAAGATTTGCTGACTACATTATCCTCGTTTGACCAATGAAACATATGGCATTCTCAAAAGTAATGGTTCTGGTAAAGTGTGACACTGGCACCTTTAAGTTTCATTGCGTTCATAATCAGTGTTATCACTTGTTGTCTAATATGTCACCAGATGTAAGAAGCACCATGTTCTTGTACTGTTGTCAGTATGATCAAAATATACCCTGTACTTTCCAAGCTCCACTCAGTAGGAAAACTCTGTATACATAAAAACAGTTTAATGTAAGTGGAATGATAGAACTCCTATGCATCTATTGTTTATTGTGAGAACATCAGTTTGCCTGTCCTGAATGAAGGCTGTCAGTAGATATTACTGTGTCCCAGGAAGTTAACAGCACATGGACTTTCTCTCGCTTGCTGTAAATATTTGTTACATTTCACAAGTACTGTATTGTCTCACTTTAGGGTATGCCAGTGATTTCTGTTCTTTCTGGTATTTCTTGCATTTAGAAGTTATTTCAAACATGACTACATGGTTTGGATTGAAAATGTAATCCCCTGCTCATGGATTTACAACACAAACACTGGACTTCCATAATTTTCATCGAGGACAGAATGATAAATATGTCAGAGAACTGAACCTTGATTTTCGAGGCTCTCTTTGCTCTAAGATAGTCGTAAGATAATGTTAATGAATGGCACTTAAGATTATCTTAGCGCTAAGAGAGCTTTGAAAATCTAGGCCCTGGTTGTTATGAACACTTGCTTAGTTCATATTTGAAACCGCCTCCGTGGTGTAGTAGTTAGAGCTAACCGTCCGCCTGGAGAGTGGAAGGTCGCAGGTTCGGTACCCGGACGCATCATACCAAAAGACATTAAATTATGGTACTTGTTGGTCCCTGCTTGGCACTTGGCATAAATGGGTACAACAAGGACTGGTCGGCTCGGAGTCAGTGTAATGTGTCTCTGGGGTATTCATGCTTCACTGCGGCATGGTATCTCAGTGGGCTAGCACTATAAAACCAGCTTGAGTCTGGGCTAGTACAAGCAGCCGCACATACACATACACACGCATGCACGTTGTCTTATGAGCGAAATATTCTTAAGTACGACGTTAAACCCCGTTTCACTTCACCTTGTTCATATTTGAGTGGGATGATGGTTTCAGGTGCGGAACAAAGGCTGCATGTTGGCTGACAAACAACTGAAGGAGCTAACATTAGCAAGGTGGGTCCCTCTTGTGTTATCTTGTCTATAGCAGCTGTCATGGATTACAGTGTCATGTCAGTGAGGTCAAGTTGGTCTTGTGAGTTTCAGTGTAAGAGAAGGATTAATGTTGAGCCCTCTCATTAACTGGGAAGTCTCAACATACTGGGTGCCCAGACTGAAGTGATTCATGGTGTTTCAGGTACAGTTTTGTTGACACAGACGACGACAAGAAAACACACAAGCCCCCACCGCTCAAGCAGGTTAGTTTTCTTGGGACAACTTTCACCTGCACTCAGTAACTGTAAAGTATAGAGAGATTAGTCCTTAACTCAAAACTCATTTCCACATCAGCAAGAAAGCATTGAGTTTTCTTGAACTATTAACAAAACATGGGGTTTTTTTATAGAAAACAACCAGGACATCACTTTCTGGGATAGATATTGGGGATAGATCTATATATTGTATTTTTCAGTGTTTGTTAGGATTATAAACCCCGTTAGAAGACACTCAGGAGCAGGACCTGAGGAAATTCCTTCAGGTTCAGTTTCTTATACCTTCTTTACTGTGCCATATTTATCTATAGGTAACATACCCATCTGCCCTACACATTGTACACCGCTGATTGTTATATCTGTGTTTGGCAGGAATCCAAGAAGTTGATCCGATACAGAGAGGGCCAAGTCGTCAGCACCAAGGGGGAGAGATTCTCTGAGGTTAAAAAATGAATCTGAGGAAATGAAGAAGACTTATGTATCACTCAAACCAGCTCGTAAATATCGCTTCCACTGAGTGCATCCACATCTTTCAACCAATCCAATTCCTTGTTACATTGCAGGTGCTACTAGACCTCCAGCACGAACCAGATCAACTGTTAACACTGACACTTTGTAAAAACAATGCTCTGTTTATCACTTATGGGTACTGTGAGATCTCAGTTGTTTTCAACTGCAGTTTGTCATCCACATTTTAGATTTGTTATAATTGTTGGGCTAAGAAACTAATGGTGGATCCTCATGCAATGACTTACTTGGTGGCAATTTTATGTTTTAATTGCTATACAAGGGCCAGAGCACATAAATGTAAATGCTTTTATACTGTTTTGTTTGTCATATAATGAAATCAGATGTTTACTCATGACACAATATATCTCTGTAGAAGATATGATGTTAAGATACAGAGGCATCCTACCAGTGTTTATGATCTTATTTCTGATGTTTTCCAGGTGTTAGAGCACCTTGATCCATATATGTATTTTCTTAGCCTAATTTGACATACCCCATTCCATGGTGAATTCTCCACCTGCTTGCCATGCATCTTTTATACCTCAGCTGTCAATGCAGTGTTTTATTGTCATATGTATTATCATGTACAAGTTTCAATCTCAAACTAGGTGTTGTTGCTAGTTGGTGGTTTTATTGTGTAGTAGACAAAGTAAATATCATATGTGTGTGTGTGTGTGTGTGTGTGTGTGTGTGTGTGTGTGTGTGTGTGTGTGTGTGTGTGTGTGTGTGTGTGTGTGTGTGTGTGTGTGTGTGTGTGTGTGATGTTAAGGTTTGTGTGCTGTCATTTTCATCCGAAATGTGTGCTGAATATAATATATATTCAGTAACCTAAAAATAGAATTGTGTGAATTGTTTTTATCAAACTGAATTAATTCTTATCCTTGGAAAATTGTAAAGAAATATGAAATACTGATGTAGATGAAGCACCAATCAGTCTGTTATTCCTCATTGTCATTTCATGGTACTTAAGAAGTGCAGGCATTTCTTTTCCCCCATCAAGTATGTTATTTACATGCTGGCAGTATGCACATTGTTGTGTTTTCCTAGATGTTCATCGTACTGTCATGTGGTGTTGTGTGGTTACCTGTAGAGATGCGCTATCTATAAGGTATAGTGTATGTGATCATAGATCTCTCCACTGTGTGATACTGGGACAGCCAGACTGGTCAATGAGAGGAGGCTGTGCTGCATATTGGATACTCATCAAGAATTTAATGGACATGCTGATACAGTTATCTCCAGACTTTCAGCTGGTCTTCACATAGATCAAGTTAATATCCTTCATACTTCTGAAAATCAAATCAGGCTTTTCATAGAACATTTCTATACATGTATTTAAATGATATGTTTGCAGTCATTAATGTGAAAGTTTAGTCTACTCAATCAAAACGCAAAGTAATTTGGAGTACTTACATCAAAAGTATAAAATATTGAGATTCAAAAGTTTCCAATATTGAGCTTGAAAGCTGAAAAAATAGAAATACTCATCTGTATGATGGTAGATTTTACTACTGTTTCACCTTGAAAGCTTAGATATTTCTTATTTTTGTACAGTAATGCTGATGTGTTTTGTGAATAAATGTTGACATAACCTGGGAAGTGTTAGGTGAATGTGTCTTCACTTTGCTCCACACTTTATGGGGGTATTTCAGAATTTTCCTTGGCTTTAAGTGTAGTTGTGTGCATAACTGAATGTAGCAGGTCTCTCCAAATACACTACCTCTATCACATCATAGCCATTGTTGTCCTCATACTACCAAATCTTAGTGCTAATCAAAACATCCAAATGTACATTGCATACTCCCACCAAATATACTCCGCACCTGCACTAGGTGCAGTTATTTCCTCTGAAAGTGAAATTATTTGTAGCTGTTTACACTCCAAAAAAACAGTTGATCTTCACACCTGTATTCTTTTTCAGAGAGATCGTCCTTGGGGTACATATAAGCATTTTCTGCACTGAAAATGTCCTGTGACAGTTGTATCAATGTTTTTTAATAAAAATATTGTACAATAAATAAAAATCTTTTTATTTATTATACGGCCCCCACCTCGTGGAGTTACCTCCCGTTGAGCATGCGCACCAACTGGGTAAGCACCTAGGCCCGTATCATCATTCCTTCTGCTGTCACTGCCATGTACGGATATGTCGGGCAGAGCTGAACTCCTTCAATCTTTCAAAGTTTAAGAGGATAATGTCTGGGACGCCACCACCTGTATGTATGGTCTTTATTTTGTCCTTGAAAGGAACAGTAAAGCTTTGCGGTCGGTTGTCTCATAATTGTGACTTTGTATTAATTATTTTACACTAACTTTCCCGTAGTTTACGCATGTGTTGCTATTCCATGGCGGGAAGTTTAGCGTGCCACGTGGTTGTAATATTGCGTTTTAACCAACTATTTCTTCCCGTGGTCGCATTCACGTAATTTTCAATGTTTTGTACGTGTATATTATGCTGCTGGTCCGCTGTTAGCTACATGCTTGCGTGTTTGCTTTCAGGCATTTACCGGTTGTACTGTCTGCGGGCAAAGTATTCCCCGTGCCGACAGTCATGAAAAGTGTCTAGTTTGCCTTGAAAAAGGCGGCCATAACCCTGACACGTGCGAGATATGTATGGGCTTCTCCCCTGCGCCCAGAAGAGGCGGGCTGCAGACTTTCTCTTCTATCGGGAAATGCGAAAGGCGGGAGGGGAACTGACCCAGGTGCCCCTGTCTAAAGCTAAAAAGCCCAAAACTAAAGGCAAAAAGGCTAAATCAACTGCTCCTAGCGGTTTTGACATGTCTCTAATCACTCAATTATTCCAGCAGCATATGGACTCGGTGAAGTCCCTTGTTCACGAGTCAGTTGGAGGTCTCCGCCAGGAGTTCCTTGCCCACTCGGAGCAGGGGACGGAGAGTCTGGGGGTGGGATCGCCGAGCCCGGCTCGATCCCTTGGCCTGGAGGCGTCTGTTGATCCGTTGCCTCTGGCTTCGGGTCCGGACGCCTCGGCTGCCCCGGAGGGGGAGGCTTCGCTCCCAGTCCCCCTCTCGGAGGAGCAGGGTCCGTTTAGGGTTCCTGGGGTTCCGGTCCCTGCGCCGTCCCGCCCCATGAGAGCGGAGGTACCAGTTTTGCCTGGTCTTCCTCCTGCGTCTCGGGACCGGAGTTCGAGCATGGTGTTGGGTACTGAAGCGGGGCGCTGCTTCGGTTCTTCCCTTCCCTCTCTCTGTGTCTGGTGCGCGGCCGCCCACTGAGTCGGGGTTCGGGTCCTCTTCGCAAGGAGACACAGCCTCGGACTCGGAGGAGGATATCCGAGTCCATGGACATTGGGGAGGTCGAGGAGCCGGAGGGTGCCTTCCGTTTCTCGACGGCAACGCATTGCTGAGTATATTCCCCAGGCCGCGGTGCCTACCAGCCGCTCGGATTCGACTGAGTTCCGCTTACCAGGCGAGGCGTTTGCCCCTAGGCAACCCACGCAGATGCTGCTCCGCATTCTGCTGGCCTTGGTGCAGGACGTGGTGGATCCCCTCCTGGCTGGGTCACGCCTCCGCTTTGACTTGCCTGAGCTTGTCAAGCGGTACCAGCTGGGGGACGATTCCCTGTTCTTAGTGCCAGTGGTCGACGAATGTGTTTTCACTTCGGTCGCCCTGGGGGGAGGCTCGGCTTCCTCCGGAGCAGCTCCGGCTACCAGGCAAGGGCGTTTGACGCCACCTTTTGCCCTCGCGGGCGCCCCCCTGCAGCTTGCTTACCGACCCTACGAGGAGGTTTACCGGAATGCTATGCAGCAGGTGCGGGTGGTGGTCCATGAGGCCTACCTCTCCTCGATTCAGAGGTCGGCCCTGGAGGTGGAGGGGCACGCTGGAGACGTTTCTCAGCATGTCGTTCTCCTCCGTCAACTTTCCGAAGTGCAGGCCCACCTCGCTCGCGACTCCTTGCGGTTGGCAGCGTCGACGGTGATGTGCGCAGTCATCGGGATGCGCACGCTGTGGCTTTCGACGTCTCGGTACTCGGCAGCTACACAGCAGGCCTTGCTGGACCTCCCCTACCGTCTGGGAGCGACGTTGTTTCCTGGGGCACAGCAGGTCATCCGGGAGGCTGCAGCTACCTCCTTCAAGGACTCCAAGGCCTTGTTGGAGCAACCGCGGGCTGCTCGCCCCCACGCTCCCGTTCCGGCTTCCTCCTCCAGGGTGCAGCCTACACCCGAGTCTGCTGGCTGGCTTCGGCCGCTGGGCAGGGGTAGGCGGAGGAGCCGTCCCGCCAAGGGTAAGGGCAAGGAGCAGTCCTCTTCGGCTGGCTCCCAGCCTTTTCGCGGGCGCAGGAGGTCTGCACCGACCTCCCGTTAACCCCACCGGCTGTAGACGTGTGTCCATCCCAGTCAGCTCCGCTACTTGCGACCACTCACGCACTCTTACCCGACGTCCCCGTGGGAGGCCGCCTCTCTCTATTCCTGCCGGAGTGGGAGAAGGCTACAAGCAACACTTGGGTGCTGTCCACCGTCAGTGTCGGCCATCTACCACTGTGGAAGCAAGGTCCGCCAGACTTCACCGGCATACGCCGCACTCCGGTGCCATCATGTCAGGTATGGGCGGACATACTGCGCGACGAAGTCCAGGCTTTGCTGGACAAGTCCGCTATAGAGCGCCTACCACTGGGCGAGGAACAGGCGGGATTTTATTCCACGTACTTCCTTGTTCCGAAGAAAGATGGCGGGTTCCGTCCCATTCTCAACCTCAAGGGGTTGAATCGCATGCTAGAGGTTCCATCCTTCAAGATGGAGACACTGCGCTCGGTGCTCTCCTCTGTTCAGCCCGGCTCGTTCGCAAGGAAGGCGTTGTTACCCTTACCTCGACGACTGGTTGCTCGGAGCGCTAACACAGCCAGCGAGCCTAGATTCTACTCACAAGGTGATAGACATTCTAGTTCGACTGGGGTGGATCATCAACCTCAAGAAATCCGACCTGGTACCCACCCAGGACTTGGTTTTTCTCGGGGCGAGGTTCCAAACTCACAAGGATCTTGTTTCCTTGTCGCCCGACCGGATCACCAGAGTACGGGAGATGGTGTCTTCGTTCCTCTCCCAGCCCCAGGCACCAGCACGGACTTGGTTCCGTCTACTGGGCCATATAGGGGCGACTATCTCTGTAGTGTGGCGGGCATGGTTGAGGATGCGCCCTATACAGCAAGCTTTGGTGAGTCTGTGGGCTCACTCGGAGGACCTGGAGCGGAGTCTCACAGTCCCCGGGTGGTTGTCTCCTCACCTTCAGTGGTGGACCAATGTCAGGAATCTCTCCAAGGGGGTCCCTTTGGAAATCCCGACGCCAGCTCTTACAGTTCAGACCGATGAGTCCCTCACGGGCTGGGGGGTTGTTCTGGGCAGTCTGTCGGTGTCCGGACTCTGGTCCGAAGCCGAAGCCCGCCTTCACATCAATGTGTTGGAACTGAGAGCTGTGCGGTTGGTTTTCGAGCCCGAGAGCATGTCCAGGGCCAGGTGGTTCGTCTTCAGTTGGACAACCGAGCGGCCATGTCGTACATCCTGAAGCAAGGCGGCGCACGGTGTCCCGAAGGCCTTCTTCGGAGACGTGGGACTTTCTCCTCTGATGCGACCAGTGCGCGATTGCCAGGTACTCCCTGTTTATCTCCGGGCTGGAGAACGTCGCGCAGCAGACGCTCTCTCGCCGGATCCTGGCCCTGCACGAGTGGATGCTCGACCGGCAGATATTCGGAGTTATCTCCCAGTTGTACGGGTCGTTCCAGGTGGATCTGTTTGCGTCCGGCGGGACGAATCAGATACCCGTTTTCTGCTCTCGAATACCGGACCCGAGGGCGTTGGCTGCCGACGCCTTCCTGCTGGATTGGACGGGCAAAGTGCTCTGGGCGTTCCCGCCGTTACCACTCATTCCCCGTGTCCTCTCCCAGCTGTCCACCCAGCCAGCTCGGCTGCTTGTGCTACTGGCACCACTTTGGCCATCACAGAGCTGGTTTCCGGTAATTCTCAGGTTTCTGGCTCAGCCTCCTGTTCTATTACCTTTGCGACCGGACATTCTCACTCAGAACGGCGCGCCACACCCCAATCCAAGGATTCAGTGGGTGGCTTGGCCTCTGTCAGGTCTAGCCTCGAAGCACACGGAATTCCTGCAGCAGTTGCAGACACTATTCTGGCTTCGAGGCGAGATTCGACGAACGTTCAGTATGAGGATAGGTGGTCCCGCTATGCGCGCTGGTGTTCAGATAGGGGGATTGCAGATCCCTTTTCTGAGGATTTAGTCCGAGTATTGGAGTTTTTGCAAGCTCGTTTGGAAGAAGGCCTGGCGGCTTCGACCATTCGTGGCTACTCCACCGCTATTTCCACCTTTCACACCCCTGTCGATGGTGCTCTTCTGGGGCAGCACCCTCTCGTAGAGCGTTTTTAGCTGGCGCGGATCAGGTTCGACCTGCTGTCAGGCGAACCAGCCCACCTTGGGATTTGCCAATTGTGCTCGATTGGCTGTCCGGTCCTACGTTCTCATGTCTATCGGCTATTTCCATTCAGTTGTTAACATGGAAGGCTGTTTTTCTGGTGGCGGTAACATCTGGGCGTAGGGTTGGCGACTTACATGCTATGTCGTCCGACCCGGCGCTGACTGTGTTTCACACTGATCGTGTCAGTATTCGCCTCCCGGATACTTACCGTCCGAAGGTTGATCACGCTTTCCATGTGACAGCTCCTATCGAACTTCCTACTCTTACCCAGCCTTCCACATCGGGGACCTCTCCTACGAGCACTCAGCCGTTGGATGTCCGTAAGACTCTCAAGGTCTATATCAAACGAACACAGGGGATCCGTACGGGTACCCATCTGTTCTGCTGTTACGGTGGCGGGAAGGCTGGGGTGCCGGCGAGCAAGCAGACTTTGTCTCGGTCATTTGTGCTGCGTATCAGGCTAAGGGCAAGCCTCCCCCTGAGGGGTTGAAGGCTCACTCGGTCAGGGCAGTAGCCACGTCAAAAGCTTTTGCATCGGCACTCCCCATTGAAGAGATCTGCTCTGCCGCTATTTGGAGCCGGCCTAGCACGTTTATTCGGCACTATCAGCTCGATACACATTCTCGTAATCGTGCGAGCTTTGGCCGTTCTGTTCTCTCCAGTGGACAGTGTCCTGCCACCCTGACCGAGTGAGTCTTGGTTATTTGACGCTGCTGTTCTATATTGTGTTTTATTGACATGTCCGCTGTTGGGTGTATAACCTCCTTTCGATCCTCTACGGAGATCTGGGCGGTCTCGAGTGTTTTTTCCCCCCTATGGTGCACTCTAATCGACCATAAGGTGGGTGGGGTTTGTTTACATTCGCACCATGTGCGTCTGCTTATGCTAACCTGCGAGGTTGTCTATGAGTACATTTCCTCCCTGTCGGTTACCCTCCCATAATGCCTCTCGCTGAAGCTCAACCCGGGACATGTGACAGGTGAGTGATTATGGCGTATGTTACATTATTCTTAACGATCGCTATTTGTGTGTGCCTTGACAGAATTCCCTCCTCCCTGGCGTCCGGTCTTTGGGAGTCTGTGTTTATGCATATATGTACCCCAAGGACGATCTCTCTGAAAAAGAATTAACCAAACCTGAAGAGGTTTTCAATTCTTTGAAGAGAGTCGTCCTTGGGGTAGGGCCTCCCGCCTCCCCGCAATTCTGTTCACTGTTCACTGTTCTTATACAGCAGAAGGAATGATGATAAGGGCCTAGGTGCTTACCCAGTTGGTGCGCATGCTCAACGGGAGGTAACTCCACGAGGTGGGGGCCGTATAATAAATAAAAAGATTTTTATTTATTGTACAATATTTTTATTAAAAAACATTGATACAACTGTCACAGGACATTTTCAGCGCAGAAAATGCTTATATGTACCCCAAGGACGACTCTCTTCAAAGAATTGAAAACCTCTTCAGGTTTGGTTAAATTTCTATAAGGTTTTCACACTTCACATATTGACTCACATTCAACTTGTGAAGTATTTGTGTAACTAAAATGTATTGTGTTGGGAAGGATCCTCCCAGAGCTCTACAAGAGGATGCTCTATCGACAAGTTGTATGTCTGTTATCCATTCTCTTATTGGTCCCTCCTGAACAGTCATTGAGAAAGTAGACGAGACAAATTATGTCATCATTGTGATAGTCTGGCTTGGTTATTTCCACTGCTGATAGAACACCTCTCATGCTGCTTGAAGATCATGATCTTCGTGCTCAACCCTTCTGCGACATACTCTAAGGCCATCTCACTTATTCCACTTACACATGTGGAAGCTATTACAGCCAAGACATTTTGTGGGTTTTCCATGTCTGCCTCTGAAGAAGTAGGAAAGTCTTCTAGACCTTCCTCATCATCAAAATATGACACTTGAGAGATGCAGAGCAAGAGGAATGTATCATTCAGAGGTAACAGTACCTATTGTGATCGATTTCAACAGACATAATATAAAGTTCAAACATGGAACAATTTAAAGATACAGATCTGCACTAGCTTGTTTTTTTCATCTGGAGGGTTATATCAATAGTTTCTCATTCAGTTCTAAAATAACAGAGATCTTTTCAACTGGATGTCATCAAGGTACCACAGACATTCCCCAATTGGAATTTACTCTACACTCCTACAACCTCCATATACAGCTTTGTACTCTTTTACAAGCAGGAGGTTATGTATACTACCTCCATTACACCATGATTTGTCCCTCCTACTTCCCCAGTGTATATAAGGCAACTTGGATGTACCATTATTGAGAAGCAAGTGACAGTGAAGAGGAAAGTCTGTTGAAAATCTGATGATTTTATAGTGAGGACAGCCATTACACAGCAATAATCACTAAGATTAAACAGATCAGTAATCTTAGCATTACACACAATGATAACTATTGTTTGATTATTCCCCAGCCTCTTTGCCTTCACAAACATAAACACAAACACAAGATAAATATGTGAACAAATTGTTTAATACTTGTTGATCAATATGGCACCAATCTTTGAACAGTTATCAATGAGTCATGTTTCTTACATAACCAAACGACAGAAGCTTGAGACAAATATAATCACAAGAAATTTTTTCAATACTATAATAATCACCTACAAGTGCTGTCTGTGATTTGCCTTTATTAGGATTCAGTGCAAGTTCTGGTCAGGTTGTACCTGTATTACAACATATACAATGTTACAAAAATAACATATATTTACCCTCAGTAATCCACCCCTCTAGCACTCAGATTCAAATTTGTTCTGTCATCATAGAGAGAGATAATTCACAGAAAAATATGTTGAAACTGGACACCATGCTATGCTACCAATTTGTACTGCAATTACTATGGATACCAGAACACAATATTGATACTTTTAATGACAATATATAGTAACGAGCAGAAAAAATGCGACAAAAAACTTTTTCTGTAGACTCGATCCAACTATCAAAAAAGCCGAAATACATTGTTTCTAGCTGCCAGTAGCTTGCCTTGTTGGTATGGAATTATCTCCCTTGGGTTCAGGGATGGCTTGATCCCGTGACCTTGTTGCTAGCAGACGATACCGAAGCTTTGCCATGACGTTACAAAACAACAGAAACTGACTCTTGGCATATTACGAAGCAGGTATTACATCCGTAATTAGACTTATGAAACTGACGGGACTGCATCGGGCCTCTGTTTACCGAAATTTGAAGAAATTTGACTCAGGGTTAGGGACAGAGCGACAGCTGGATCGGGACGTCGTGCTACTCTTGGGGCAAATTACAGACGACGTATCGCGCATCTCGCGGCGCGTACCCAAACTGGTCTGCAAAACAGCTTGCCATGAAGGCGTCAAGTCAAGGAACCCCCTAAGATATCAGAATGGACAATCAGAAAATCTTTAAAGCAATCTGGATATGTCAAGCGAGTGCCGAAGAAAGTTCCATTGATGACAACAGCACATATGGAGGAAAGGCTCGAGTGGTGCAGGGAAATGCAGGGTACAGACTTTTCAAATGTAATTTTTACGGACGAATCAAAGTTTCAGTTTTATAGGATCACAAGAAAGAGGTGGTCAAGAGGTGGACGAGCTGCAAAATGGTTCCGAAGTTCTCACCCAGTGTCATGGTTTGGGTCGTATAGGCAAACTCGGGGTAACACCGCTGCTAACTATTACAGGAAGGATTGATTCATGCAAGTACTGTCAACTTATACAAGAAGGCATAGTGGAATCCCACATAGGACAGAGTGGAATACCTTTCAAACTTTTACAGGACAATGCACCTGTAAACAAGTCAAGAACACCTGTAACTGGTTTGAAACGAGTCACGTGACCGTACAGAAATTTCCAGCGACATCACCAGGCCTGAACCCAATTGAAAATGTGTGGCAGATTATGAAGGACAAATTAGAAAAGTTGGAACCGAAGAGTGTCGTTGAGTGGTCTAATCTCATCAGTCAAATATGGGTGGGCCTACCCCAGGACTACATAAACAATTTGATTGACAGCATGGGATGCCGTATTCAGCATTGCATCGAGAGAAACGGTGGAATAACAGACTATTGACTTGCATAAATGTAAACTTCAGTATCCAGAGTGGATGTATGAAAAATATAACTGAATTTATCAGTAAATAAATTTTGAAACGTCTGTGAAAAGTCACATTTTTTCTGCTCGTTACTGTATATAGTTATAAAAGCAATGCACAAATATAAAATATAAAATCCTTTTCAGTTAAAGAAGAACTTCACATCAATGAGTTTGTGGCAAATGTGAAAACAGAAGATACTACACCCACAGCACCTCTGCCGCTACTGTTGGTTCCATTCATAGAACCTGATGCAGGCTTGTTCTATTGTTCACCAAAGAGGCAAACATCTACACCCTTTAGACTTGCCACTTCATGAGTGAAACATGATTGTGATGATAACTGAATTACCTTTCAAGTTAGAATAAAAGCAAGGTCTCTAATTCTTCACCCACAAAATGTGTATGCTTGCACTCATATTCCCGAGGCAAGGGAGTTAACTCACTGTTAAAGTTTCCCTCCTTGCCAAACTAGCCTGGACTTTTGGAGTAGTAGTTTTAATGGACTGACAAGTCATTGCATTGTGAAATCAAAATTGTGTAACAAACTCAACATCGGGTTCATAAACAACATGACTAAGATTTCTATTGATTGCAGATTTGCATATCAATTATATTTTCCAAATATAATTTTCATGTTTTATGCTTTTTGTCATAATGCTTAAATGATTTGATGCACTTTGTCAGGGAAGACCTGTTAAATTACAATCAACATAGAAGGGACACGGGTCAAAATAGCCACTCATGGTGCTACAATCAAGTCATGAAACACTAACCTAGTTCAGCATGAGTGGAAATGACTTCAGTCAGTTAATGCCCTTGCCTCGGGAATATGTGTTTTCATGGTATGAGAGAAAAAAACAAACACTCCTAGACAGGACACTGCACAAATCCATGTAGAATCCACCCTTTATATGTTGAGTACAAAAATATCACATCCCTCATATACAACAAACAGTACAAGTGAAACATGATGTGATCTGATATAAGCATGAAAGATATATTTGAGTATTTGTGGAGTCATATATAGTATATATACGCATACCCTAAAGTAATGAAACATTCCTTTAAATGTCTCCATGGAGTGAATATGTTCCTTGCAGTAAAGAATTTGGCATCCATAATTTTTCCTTCACGTATACATACCATGCAAAAACTAGCATCGGTTGAGTGTCAAACTATACCACATACTTTGAAAAAATTCAATACAATAAAATTCAGTTCAGAAACATACATGAAAGCCAACATGAGGAAATGCAAGACAGCCAGCCAAGCAGGTACGCTGGGAAAGCACACATATGCTTAGATCCTGTTTGTCACCTCCAATAACATCACCTTACAGCCTTCCTAGCCTTATACAACAGCCTGATTCTACATGTGGAAGGTTCATTACGGATCACTTACACTTCGTAATGTGCTGTCATGGTAACTTATCCTCAAATTAGTGGCAAGTTCTCCATGTCACAATAAAATGCAAGTGAATATTAACATGGTTGATTCATGACAATTTGCTGCATGCTTTTTGTGCTATTGAGGCATATAAAGATGTATTGCTGTCATTGCTAGACATCCATGTACCCATCAGGACCAATTCCACAGTGTACATAGCAATAAAACATTAATGGTATCAGGGAAGTCCTCCTTATTTTTCTGTGAGAACATCCATTCATTCCTGGAGTGTGTAGAACCTGGATATGCTGACTTGCCATCTCTCAGACACCTCTTAAAGACAATATACATAAACACACTCAAATAATAGCCACCTCATAAATATCGTTGCTCCTAAAGTCATAAACACTTTCTATCACAGATAGAAAGCATACCCTGAATACAAGCTCAACCCAAAGCATTCTCTTAGTTTGATTTGACACTTTCTAGGTGTGACCTTTGTTCAAACATAGTTACAGACACTACACAACTATTGTCAAAGACTTAGATCCATGGAAGGGATCAGATTCAAAGATGTCTTTATCATGGCTGAGTGAGACATCTCTTGTAGAATGACATCATATGACCATCTATTGTACATTGGAACATGCCCATGCAGTGCTACTTCCCTTCCACAAACAAGGCACACTGACACAAGTGTTCATTGTGAGAGAGTTACGTATGGTTGGTAGAACAGTTTTATCATATAGAGAGACACATGTAACTTAGTCTTGATAATACTCTTGACATCTGACAGTAATACACAAACGAGAGGATAAACCATTACAGAGGAAGTATTTTGCTACAAACAGAAAGGGCCCAACAAAGTGTACCGAACATGTTTCGTCATCAGTGAAGTGATCCTGCTGCTGTAACCTGTACACCACCAATCAAGTGATCCTGCTGCTGTAACCAGTACACCACCAATCACATCATGTCATGTTGGACATCCAGCTTTACGGCTGCAGTCTCTCTGCTGATTTCTGTGTAGGTCTACACCACCAATCACATCATGTCATGTTGGACATCCAGCTTTACGGCTGCAGTCTCTCTGCTGATTTCTGTGTAGGTCTACACCACCAATCACATCATGTCATGTTGGACATCCAGCTTTACTGCTGAATCTACATCATCATGTCATGTTGGACATCCAGCTTTACGGCTGCAGTCTCTCTGCTGATTTCTGTGTAGGTCTACACCACCAATCACATCATGTCATGTTGGACATCCAGCTTTCATGTTGGACATCCAGGCTGCAGTCTCTCTGCTGATTTCTGTGTAGGTCAAACTGACCTCTCACACCAATTCATAAATTTTAGCCCCTTTCGTCATTCAGTTGACATGACAAGAAATCTCTTCCAGAAACATGTTGGTGCATTTGTTTATGGTAATAGAAGATCATATGATTTTCTAAACAAAACCAACAATGAATTTCTGCTGAATCCATCTCATTGTCCCTTACACTACTATTTCAAAAACCCTCTGATTTTCACCATCCCACAATGATAACGTTTTAGTATTTGAATGATGTATGACATCCCGTATTTCTGTAGATTGTTGAGGAGCTAATGGAAGTAGCTCTGATATGCATATGTTCTGAACGGAAGTATATGTTTTTACATCAGGATACTTCAGTCTTGCCCCAGTACAGTCTATAGACTCATCTATTAATAGTCCAGCCTGGAATCTAACTAAACCATTGCCATCAGGACAACTACAATAGGCACCCTTCATGCAATCATTACACTATGGTAACTGTGAGACCCAGGTCTGTTAAACCAGAAGATTAGTTTGATGAGGACACAACTGAAAGAAGTAACAGGTCACTTTAACTGGCACCTGGGAATAATCATGACATTGTTTGAGGAAGTTGTGTGTGTACCATATTTATGTATAAGTACATAAAATTACTATTTCCTAATACTGCAGGTTATCACAAGAAACTTAGCTTTAAATAATTGTCTGGACGAACATGGTTGTGTACAGAAGAAGAAATTTGGAAAATGCACCACCAATTTAACACCAGAAACCTCATTACTTGCAGGAGAGAGCCACACAACTGTAAGTACTAATCCCACTAGATTCAATGTTGGAAGAAGTGTGAAACATTTTTCGATAATCAAGGAAGGACAATAGCAATGGCCATGACCTTTTCAATAACTCAAGGGTAGCTTATCTGAGTTTATATGCAAGACATGAGTGGTTTTCCTTTGCATACTATGCCGATACTGTAGAGTCTACCATGCCCAATGGTATTAATGTGGAAACATTGCACAGCTCCACCTTTAATTTATTTCGGTCACATTTGTGTCAGAGATTTTGACTTTAGTTTGTCATTAAAACAATCTACAATTAGATACATGTTTATGTCCAAAATAAAGTTTCTTTCTCATTTTTATATTTAAGTTGTCAGAGAGATGAGAGGTTTCAATATATGTTTCTTAAATATATATAAGTATTCATCATTCCTATAACATTGGTAGGTATTTCTGTGGTTGCAATATTAAACAGTTCCTAAATCGCGACAGTTTGAATGTAGAAAAAAATACGCTAGCTTCCCAGTAATTGTTTCCTTCAAATATTAGTGTGGCTGAGTGGGGTTTCATGTAAAATGTGCAAGGTGTGATGGAGGGAGGTATGCGTTGTGTGTCGTGATTGTGATCAACTTTCGGTTTGTGCAGCATGCTATGCGTGCTTGCAGACAACTATAGACAGAAATAAAGTTTAAGAAATGTGTACCTCCACCGTTTAAGATTTCAATCTTAAGTTCAAGTCATCCTACAATCATGCTAGGATCAGTTTGTGCAAGTGGAGTAGGACAATAGCAAGGTGATTGTAAAGTTGATTGTAGGGGCCTAAGGTCGAACGTAACTAAGAATGTTCTGTGCAAGTGGGGCTAGACATATAAGGCAACCACTTACTGCCTTCTAAGGAAGTGAGTTAATAAAACAATTTGCAGTAATGGGCAGAGTCATTTAAATCAATGCTCTCTGAAACATTATATCCATTTTTGTTGTGTTTGAGCCACATTGATACAGCATCTTGACTGGTAAGTTGACCTGCTTTCATGCTGTTGAATCTTGGGTTGACAAGCATGGAGTGGGCAGGACAGGAAGTGAGGAACACCCCGTTCTTCCCCGATGCCAGGAGGTCCTGCGATTGTTGGAGAATGGCCTTCTTCACTCTGTCCAACACCTGCATCTCCCTGGGTGGGCAGTGTCCAGACCTTGTACACGGGATGCTCAGGGTGGCCGATGTGTACCACGTGTCATACAGGGAGTTAGCAAAGAACATTGGTGTAAACACATGCTTATAGAACACCTCTGGTAGGAAACAACGCCACTGCACCGGTTCGGGAAGGCCAAGCGTACATTCCTTCAGCACCAAGGATTCTGAGGGAGAGGAAACAGCATGGTACAATAGAAGAGGAAAATGATACAGTTCTAATATTAACAAAATACTTCCATGGCACTGAAGCTCTTCTGGAACTGAAGCTAAATGTCACTAAGACTGTCAGCATTGATAATTATTCTTTTCCTCCCTAAATTCTGAGCAGTTAAAACTAACACTAAATCTTACAGATTGAACAAAATACAATACCATCAAAAAGGAGCATACATCTTCAGTCTAACAGTTGCAGAGGGGAAGATGTTGTCAGAGCCAAACATCTATTTGAGATAATTTAAGAGCAAGTTCAGAATAAAAGATTCTAAAATATTGCAAAACAATTAACTGTCAATTAACTACATATAAAACAAAAGTCTTTAAATTTTGAAAACAAATCACTATGTACAGTCCATAAATAGGTTGATCAATATGGCTGCCAGATTGAAACATTCTTATGAGTCATCGTTGGTTTAAACAAGAATGTTACATGTCAACTTCCTGGACATGACACATGCAGAGCTCACTGTGCATCTTGAAAGAATTAGGGTCATGGCCAAAATGAAAAGTTAAAATCAAGTCAAATTTCAAAATATTCCAAAACAGAACATATCTCTTAACCCAAAAAGCCACAAACATGTCAAAGATATTTAAGTCAGTCAGCTAAATGTAGGATTTAAATCACACGAATAGTATGTTAGTTTTTTGTGGAGCTTGTATTACCTCTGTGGTTTTGGAGGTTGCAAGTGTTGTGCAGCATATATTACCTTTGAGGTTGTGGAGGTTGCAAGTGTTGTGCAGCATGTATTGCCTCTGTGGTTGTGAAGGTTCCAAGTGTTGTGCAGCATGTATTGCCTCTGTGGTTGTGGAGGTTCCAAGTGTTGTGCAGCATGTATTGCCTCTGTGGTTGTGGAGGTTGCAAGTGTTGTGCAGCATGTATTGCCTCTGTGGTTGTGGAGGTTCCAAGTGTTGTGCAGCATGTATTGCCTCTGTGGTTGTGGAGGTTGCAAGTGTTGTGCAGCATCTATTGCCTCTGTGGTTGTGGAGGTTGCAAGTGTTGTGCAGGATGTATTGCCTCTGTGGTTGTGGAGGTTCCAAGTGTTGTGCAGCATGTATTGCCTCAGTGGTTGTGGAGGTTCCAAGTGTTGTGCAGCATGTATTGCCTCTGTGGTTGTGAAGGTTGCAAGTGTTGTGCAGCATGTATTGCCTCTGTGATTGTGAAGGTTGCAAGTGTTGTGCAGCATGTATTGCCTCTGTGGTTGTGAAGGCTGCAAGTGTTGTGCAGCATGTATTGCCTCTGTGGTTGTGAACGTTGCATGTGTTGTGCAGCATGTATTGCCTCTGAGGTTGTGGAGGTTGCAAGTGTTGTGCAGCATGTATTGCCTCTGTGGTTGTGAACGTTGCATGTGTTGTGCAGCATGTATTGCCTCTGTGGTTGTGGAGGTTGCAAGTGTTGTGCAGCATGTATTGCCTCTGTGGTTGTGGAGGTTGCAAGTGTTGTGCAGCATATATTACCTTTGAGGTTGTGGAGGTTGCAAGTGTTGTGCAGCATATATTACCTTTGAGGTTGTGGAGGTCGTAAGCGTTGTGCAGCATGTATTGCCTTTGTGGTTGTGAAGGTTCCAAGTGTTGTGCAGCATGTATTGCCTCTGTGGTTGTGGAGGTTGCATGTGTTGTGCAGCATGTATTGCCTCTGTGGTTGTGAAGGTTGCAAGTGTTGTGCAGCATGTATTGCCTCTGTGGTTGTGGAGGTTGCATGTGTTGTGCAGCATGTATTGCCTTTGTGGTTGTGAAGGTTCCAAGTGTTGTGCAGCATGTATTGCCTCTGTGGTTGTGGAGGTTGCAAGTGTTGTGCAGCATGTATTGCCTCTGTGGTTGTGAAGGCTGCAAGTGTTGTGCAGCATGTATTGCCTCTGTGGTTGTGGAGGTTGCAAGTGTTGTGCAGCATGTATTGCTCTGTGGTTGTGGAGGTTCCAAGTGTTGTGCAGCATGTATTGCCTCTGTGGTTGTGGAGGTTCCAAGTGTTGTGCAGCATGTATTGCCTCTGTGGTTGTGGAAGGTTGCAAGTGTTGTGCAGCATGTATTGCCTCTGTGGTTGTGGAGGTTGCAAGTGTTGTGCAGCATGTATTGCCTCTGTGGTTGTGGAGGTTGCAAGTGTTGTGCAGCATGTATTGCCTCTGTGGTTGTGGAGGTTGCAAGTGTTGTGCAGCATGTATTGCCTCTGTGGTTGTGGAGGTTGCAAGTGTTGTGCAGCATGTATTGCCTCTGTGGTTGTGGAGGTTGCAAGTGTTGTGCAGCATGTATTGCCTCTGTGGTTGTGGAGGTTGCAAGTATTGCCTCTGTGGTTGTGGAGGTTGCAGCAGCATGTATTGCCTCTGTGGTTGTGGAGGTGGTTGTGGAGGTTGCAAGTGTTGTGCAGCATGTATTGCCTCTGTGGTTGTGGAGGTTGCAAGTGTTGTGCAGCATGTATTGCCTCTGTGGTTGTGGAGGTTGCAAGTGTTGTGCAGCATGTATTGCCTCTGTGGTTGTGGAGGTTCCAAGTGTTGTGCAGCATGTATTGCCTCTGTGGTTGTGGAGGTTGCAAAGTGTTGTGCAGCATGTATTGCCTCTGTGGTTGTGGAGGTTGCAAGTGTTGTGCAGCATGTATTGCCTCTGTGGTTGTGAAGGTTGCATGTGTTGTGCAGCATGTATTGCCTCTGTGGTTGTGGAGGTTGCAAGTGTTGTGCAGCATGTATTGCCTCTGTGGTTGTGGAGGTTCCAAGTGTTGTGCAGCATGTATTGCCTCTGTGGTTGTGGAGGTTCCAAGTGTTGTGCAGCATGTATTGCCTCTGTGGTTGTGGAGGTTGCAAGTGTTGTGCAGCATGTATTGCCTCTGTGGTTGTGAAGGTTGCATGTGTTGTGCAGCATGTATTGCCTCTGTGGTTGTGGAGGTTGCATGTGTTGTGCAAGCATGTATTGCCTCTGTGGTTGTGGAGGTTGCAAGTGTTGTGCAGCATGTATTGCCTCTGTGGTTGTGGAGGTTGCAAGTGTTGTGCAGCATGTATTGCCTCTGTGGTTGTGGAGGTTCCAAGTGTTGTGCAGCATGTATTGCCTCTGTGGTTGTGGAGGTTCCAAGTGTTGTGCAGCATGTATTGCCTCTGTGGTTGTGGAGGTTGCAAGTGTTGTGCAGCATGTATTGCCTCTGTGGTTGTGGAGGTTGCAAGTGTTGTGCAGCATGTATTGCCTCTGTGGTTGTGGAGGTTGCAAGTGTTGTGCAGCATGTATTGCCTCTGTGGTTGTGGAGGTTCCAAGTGTTGTGCAGCATGTATTGCCTCTGTGGTTGTGGAGGTTGCAAGTGTTGTGCAGCATGTATTGCCTCTGTGGTTGTGGAGGTTGCAAGTGTTGTGCAGCATGTATTGCCTCTGTGGTTGTGGAGGTTGCATGTGTTGTGCAGCATGTATTGCCTCTGTGGTTGAAGGTTGCATGTGTTGTGCAGCATGTATTGCCTCTGTGGTTGTGGAGGTTCCAAGTGTTGTGCAGCATGTATTGCCTCTGTGGTTGTGAAGGTTGCATGTGTTGTGCAGCATGTATTGCCTTTGTGGTTGTGAAGGTTGCATGTGTTGTGCAGCATGTATTGCCTTTGTGGTTGTGGAGGTTGCATGTGTTGTGCAGCATGTATTGCCTCTGTGGTTGTGGAGGTTCCAAGTGTTGTGCAGCATGTATTGCCTCTGTGGTTGTGGAGGTTGCAAGTGTTGTGCAGCATGTATTGCCTCTGAGGTTGTGGAGGTTGTAAGTGTTGTGCAGCATGTATTGCCTTTGTGGTTGTGAAGGTTGCAAGTGTTGTGCAGCATGTATTACCTTTGAGGTTGTGGAGGTTGTAAGTGTTGTGCAGCATGTATTGCCTCTGTGGTTGTCGAGGTTGCAAGTGTTGTGCAGCATGTATTGCCTCTGTGGTTGTGGAGATTGCAACCGTTGTGCAGCATGTATTGCCTCTGTGGTTGTGGAGGTTGTAAGTGTTGTGCAGCATGTATTGCCTCTGAGGTTGTGGAGGTTGCAAGTGTTGTGTAACATGTATTGCCTTTGAGGTGGTGGAGGTTGCAAGTGTTGTGCAGCATGTATTACCTTTGAGGTTGTGGAGGTTGTAAGTGTTGTGCAGCATCTCTGCCATGACATGTTGTTGATTCCCATCTGGTTGATCCAAGAACAGTGAGCCATCAACTAGCACATGCAGGGTCTTCACAGATGATGGCAGCTTCTCTCTCAACCGATCAGCTTGGAGAAGAGCCGCCAGCCCTCCAGCTATAAAATAAAAAAAACCAATTAACACAAGTGTTACTTTACACATTAATTTACAGTGAAACATGTCTCTGGTGAAGCAGTATTGATGAAATGAGGTGAAATGGAGTTTTGACATGTTTAATGTACCATTCAAAGTTACTGAAACTTGTATTACAATGAGCATGCACATGTTTGTGAGTTTGGCCACCTGTTCTAGCCTACACTAACACCAGATTAATGGCAAGCAATACGAATAAAACAAATAATGTCTTTTACTGTGTTTAGGTATGATTTGCTGGCAACTTTCTACTTTTTGGCAGACACTCTATCCTCTAGACTGCTGAATGGGTCCAACAGAAGTAGTTTTGGCACTATGATGATGACATACCTGATGAGCCCACGAGGATGACGTTATGTGCTGTGGCCAGGCTAGTGTGAGACATCAGGTACTCAATCAACGTCTCAAACACTGCCCCACCCCTCAAGTAGAGTGACCGGGACTGCACATTCAACACACCTGACTTGTTACCTGTAAAAGAAGAATATGATGACAACTTACATGATGACACCTTACCCAACACGACACTTTACACAGCTCTTGTAGTTTGAGCAGAACATGACTATACCTTACCCAAATCCTGTGATATTTGGAGAACATGACTATACCTTACCCAACAACTATTGTGTCAGCCGAATATGACGAACATCTAAGCCAACCAATGTCATGTCAGCAGAATATTATGATACCTGACCCAACACCTCTGATGTCAGCAGAAAATGAGGACATCTTAGCCAACCAATGTCATGTCAGCAGAAGATTATGACACCTTAACCAACACTTCCAATGTCAGTAGAAAATGAGGACACCTGACCCAACACAAGTGATGTTAGCAGATCATGGGGACACCTGACCCAAAACCAGTGATGTCAGCAGACCATGAGGACACCTGACCCAATGTCTGTGATGTCAACAGACCATGAGGACACCTGACCCAACATCTGTGATGTCAGCAGACTATGAGGACACCTGACCCAACATCTGTGATGTCAACAGACCATGAGGACACCTGACCCAACACCAGTGATGTCAACAGATCATGAGGACACCTGACCCGTCTGTTATGTCAGCAGACTATGAGGACACCTGACCCAACGTCTGTGATGTCAGCAGACCATGAGGACACCTGACCCAACACCAGTGATGTCAGCAGACCATGAGGACACCTGACCCGTCTGTTATGTCAGCAGACTATGAGGACACCTGACCCAACATCTGTGATGTCAGCAGACCATGAAGACACCTGACCCAACACCTGTAATGTCAGCAGACCATGAGGCCACCTGACCCGTCTGTTATGTCAGCAGACCATGAGGACACCTGTCAGGGGTTCAAAAATCCCATCGCCCGACGCCCGGGACAAGTCAGTTTTCATTTCGGGCAATCAAATAATGGTATCTTACTTGTCCGTGGGCTACTAGATAATTTCCACTTATGGTTTCAGACTGCTTGGATTTAATGTCATATCTGCTCAAAATGTAGCTTTTAAATTTCGCAATGATGATAAAGCAGAGTTATCTTTCTTTGCTATTTATCACTTTTCAATAAATTGTCCAGTAAACATTAACATCAAATAGCATGTTGATTTATTCTTTCATAATTACATCATCATGATTATGTCATAAAATCAGGGCAAGTGGAAAATTTGTCAGGACAAGTTACAATCTTAAAGTCACTTGCCCTGTGGCAAGTGGCTTTTTAAAATAATTTTGAACCCCTGTCTGTGATGTCAGCAGATCATCAAGGCGCCGTAGTAACACCTGTGATGTCAGCAGACCATGAGGACCCCTGACCCAATGTCAGCAGACCATGAAGACACCTTACCTAACACCTGTGATGTCAGCAGACCATGAGGACACCTGACCCAACACCTGTGATGTCAACATCAGTCTAAGGTTACCCTTCGTTCCCTACCTGTGAAAGAGCTCCCATCACAGTAGAGAAACTGGGCAGTGTTCCAGGTGAAGAAGTCAGGGTTGACCCTCTCATCGCTGGATAAGATACCCTCAAATAGAGCAGAGGTACGAGCAGACTGGCTTGATCCCAGGTCGGTGAAACTCCTGCGGGTACAGACATGAAGGAAGTCAGATGTTCTTCCATTACACAGGGGAAAAGATTTCTGTTATGTATAAGTGTTGGATGTTAACAGTTATAATCATCTCCTTCTGGACTATTAATGGTACTCTAACCAGCCAAATAGACTTACAGCAAGCTTAGTTTGGAGATATGGCTCTTAGGAATAGTCATCAGCATTGTGGTATTGCTGACTAAACTTTCAAAGCCAAAAACATGAAGACATTGGTTTTTCCCAGACCTTTAAACATGAGCAAGAAATAGAATAGTGTGCATCATATGTTGGGTGTGGCATAAAACTTTTAAGCACAGAGACAAAAATGTATTAGAGACAAAAATGTATTAGTAGTATGCACAATGGGGCTACGGGAACAGGTCCCCCAAGGGCTCAATTAAAAAATGTAATATTTAGATTAATATTGATATTTTATACTTATCCTGACTCATGCTTAATTGCTTGTCTCTTTCGTCTTGCGAATGATAGTGGAACACTTGAATCCCCTTGGACGTAAACTCACTCACCCAGTGTAATCTCCCTTGTGACTGACTGACTGAGTTTGGTTTTACGCCACTTTTAGCAATATTCCAGCAACATCACGGCGGGGGATACCAGAAATGGGCTTCACACATTGTACCCATGTGGGGATTCGAACCCGGGTCTTTGGCGTGACGAGCCAATGCTTTAACCACTAGGCTACCCCACCGCCCAATCTCCCTTGTGACTCTTTTAGGCGGGAAACCACGTCACGTGTTTGGACATGCCCCTCACTCTCTCCTGATTATGCGCCCGACACCTGGATTACAGGGAATCCAGAGTGCCATGAGGGGAGGTTGGGAGGGCTTACCTAATGAGTCAGGATAAGTATAAAATATCAATTTTAATCTAAAAATTACATATTTTTCCTTATCCTGACTCATGCTTAATTGCTTGTAGAATCCAACGGAACAGGTGGTGGGTCAAGTGACTGGATTCCATGCTGATTTACGTCCTTCCTTCCCCCCTGTGGGAACTTCTTAAAGTATATACTGATCCTTCCTTCCAGCCTCCTCTGATGAGTTTGGGGGGACCACAATATGTCAGATTTTCTGGAACCGCTTCTCCTGACAGTAAAAGTGGATTTATACGACTCCATGATTGATTTCCACATCAATGGAGAAGTGACCCTTCTTCATATATGAGTAAGTCCTTACAAGTATAGGGTCTGTCACTCATGCTAGCCTATCTTTAGACGTTCGCACGGACTCTAAGCTTCAACTCTCTGAGTGTCAGCTTTTATTAGTCATGTGATAAAGGGTGAGATTCATCTCAGGGTCTTTGAGGAACTGTCAATTGTTGTGCTACAACAAGAGGCCAAAACTGATGGATACCGGAGACATCCTCGGTAGCAATGTCTCTGAGGTAGTGGTTGGCAAACACATTCTCCAACTTCCATTAGCAGCCTTCCATTATTGTCGAGATTGAGCAATTTCCATGAAGAGCAAGTGTCAACGCCATGAGGATTAGAGGCTCATGGTGGCTCAATATGACGGCTCTCATCCATATTGATATCGCTGTACGTGAGACTTCTGTAGGTGTCTCCGTAGGTAAAGGGATGAAAAGGCGCTTGAATTTTTGTCTCCTTATCTTAGACCTTTGTAGGTAGATTTGTAATGCTCTGTCTGGACATAAGGATAGATCCTGGGTATCCTGTGGTCCAAGGACTGACGAAAGTGCTGGGATGTGGAATTGCCTGTCTGGTTGACCGGGCAATTGGTTCTTTGTTATGAAGTCCCATCTCAATCCCAGATGTATGATGTTGTGATGTGCATCAAATCGTATTCATTCAAAGTCCAGAGCATGTATTTCTGACATCCAAGCTGCTGTTGCCAAGGCGACCAGGAACATAGTTTTATGTGTTAAAAACTCATAGGATGTCCTTCCTGGTGGTTCATAAGCATCACTGGTGAGATGCAGTAAGACTACGTTGATATCCCAAGCAGGTGCTTTGAATTTCTTTTGTTGGTCTTCCATCTTAAAGGAGCGTAGTAGAGCTAGTATCTCTAGACCTCAATGATGGAGTGGATGGACGTCTACAACGATACTGGAAGAATTGGGGAATTCTTCAGGACTAAAAGCAGTGCAACCATTGACAAACAACTCTCTGGCCCACAACTACGCTGTCGACCAGATGGAGAACCTACTCAACGCCATCACAACTCTACTCGAGAAGGAGGCGATCGAAGAAATAAAACAGGAATTCATCACACCCGGGTTTTACTCCCCAATCTTCTTAGTACCAAAGAAACATTTTAAAAAAAAGTTCCGACTTATATACAACATGAGGAAATTCAACCAAGATTATCTACGCAGCCCCGCAAAGTTCAGAATGATACATTTGCCTCAACTGCAACAACTCATACATCCATTAGACTACCTCCCATGAGTGCTCTCTTGCAGACTGCTGTCATCATTGGGCTGTGATCTGCTGGCTGCTTTCGATGTAGATGGGGCCTCCGTCTCTACTTTCTCTTGTGCGAATCTTCGCTCCATAAGGTCCATCATCTGCTGCGTAAACTGCTGCATGAAGACCCCAGGGTTGAAATTCTGCGACGACGACTGCTGCTGCTGTTGCTGCACTGCAGATGACGCATCTGAGAGTGTCGAGGCTTCTCCCCCGGACTGCGGCACTTGTGACGAACTGCCATCTCTATCTGATGTCTGCGTTCTGATGACTGCTGCTGTTGCTGTAGATGAAGACCTCGTCTTCTTCCTCACTGGCACTTCAGGGATGAGGATGGGAGGCTCATCATAGACGTCTACTTCATCTGCTGGGATGATCTCAGTAGCAAACGACCTCGTCTGAAGTGCTGGCCAATGAGAAGACTTTGCCAGAGTCTTAGTAGACAACTTCTTCTTCTGGGAAGAAGATGCCCTCGTCTTCTTCGACTGCGATGATGTTATCATTGAAGTAGATGACCTCTTCTTAGAGCCGGAGCTGCCATCAGACACAGCGACCTGCTCCGTAGACACAGCCGGTAAACTAATAGAATGGTGAATGTCAGTAGGCAACAACAAACGGTTATTAAAACAATCATTTGGTTTAGACATGACTTGAGAAAGTCGTCTACTCCTGTCCTTGGCATGCCTAAAAATGGAATATAAATAATTATTAAATTGAACTTCAGTTAAATGCTGACAAAACTGACAGCGAAGGCTGGAAGAACATGGAGAAATATAATTAGGACATATTAAATGTGGATCAGCAAATGACAATCGGAGTCTACAACGACTGCAAGATTTCATCAAAAATCACCATGATGAAAACACATGTCAACAAGGTGAACAAAAACAGATAATTTTGATCAAATTTCAAACCATATTGTTGGTATATCAATCCTAAAACCTTATACAGCTAATTTAGTAGTAAGGCCTAAATGTTTAAAGGATATAACGCCATATAGGGGACCCAGGCACTCTCACAACCGTCCTCAAGGGCGAAGAAGGAGAGAGTGAGGGGCATGTCCAAACAGGTGACGTGGTTTCCCGCCTAAAAGAGTCACAAGGGAGATAACACTGGGTGAGTGATTTCACGTCCGCTTTTTTGAAGGGAGCTTCAAAAGGGGATTCAAGTGTTCCACTATCATTCGCAAGAAGAAAGAGACAAGCGATTAAGCATGAGTCAGGATTAGGAAAAATTTGAGCCCATGGGAAGTCCCTAATCCCATAGCCCCATTGTGTATACTACTACTGAGGCGCATGCAAAATTTGATGAAAATCAGTAGAATAGTTTCTGAAATATTGACTTTTAAGTGAGCATGGGGTCGGTCGGGAAAAGGCAAAATGTCCAACTTTCTGTCGTAATTAAGTCTTAATTAATCTAATGAAGTCATTGAGAGTGTTCCTAATGCCATTTTGCTATAGTGTAACCATCTGCCAAGATGCATGCAAGATTTCACGAAAATCGATCAAATAGTTTAGGAAATAATCACTTTTTAGTGAGCATGGGGTCGATCTAGCGAAAGGCTAACAATCCAACGTATTGTCGTACTTGTTATATATTATCGAGGCGAGAGGTGTTTTTAGCGGAATGAAACGCAGGTCTCAGCAGTCATCACCTCGCTACCGTCTCGGGGGTTGCTTTGAGCGAAATTATCCGATCTCGTTCCGTACCGAGAACTGTGCATTCATCTCGATCAGCTGAGCACGACCAACAACGTTCAAGGCAAACGACCGTCCACACTGCTGAGAGCTGTGCGGGTGAAACCGGAAAAGTACAACGACGGCAGAACCGAATCTTTTCGTCACGGCAGTACAAGAAATTAATCCGAGGCAACATCACGGAATTGAAAATATCGGTTTTAGACATTTAACACGATCCCGTAAGTATAGGATATCTCAGCACAACGCTGCATATACGACAATGACGGAGTCTCAAGGTCCAGGAACATGCGTTAGAAAATCCGTCAACAGAGCGATCTCCGACCTCAGGGACACACGCGGATTCGACGAAACCAGAGTCAACGGCAAACTGTACGCCTTGCAACTGAAAAACAAACAGCGTCGAACTGCGGCCCTCTACTGCTGCTGGTGGTAAGAACAATGACCTAGGCGATTTCGTCAATACCGAAGGAGCGGTCAACAACACACGATACGACCTGGTCCGCAATGACAAGGACGAATGGACGATAACCCTAGCGTTCCACGACAGGCTGTTCCACCTGAACGACGTCAAGACCACGTCCGTCTCCAGAAACACGCAGTACACTCTCATCTTCAACTACGACAACAAATGGGTATTAGTGCCATCCCAAATTGACTGGAATTTCAACATCAAGTTCGACTCTCCCCACGTTTTCATGGACAACAAAGATCACTACCTGACGAAAGTCGTGAACAACGGAACGCTTCTCGTGGCTTACGTCCCATACGCAAAGACGCAGCGTGATTTGCAGCACGCTGAGGCAAAGAGTAACCCACATGCTGTCAAGCAAACCCGGGACGCAAAACGTGGGATTGCAGATGGTGTAGGAATTCTACAGCGTGGTAAACGTCCTGGAAAATCTGCCAGCAAAATCACGCTTTACATCCAAGTCTACCTCGGCAAACCGCCGTCAGTGCGTAACATCTTCGAAAAATCGTGAAAGGGATCAAACTCCCCTGGGCCAAACAACAATACCAAGTTTGCTCCGTTTAGGTGGGGGTGAACGTTAACGCCTATACCAGTCTGAAAGGAGTCACCGTGACCATGGAAGACACGATATCACTCACCAAAAGTTTCCTACTCGACAACATACATCTCATGGGTTTAAAGTGCATGTCCGAGGAATTATCCGATAACCAATTGAAAACCATTTCGTAATACATTATATATAAACGAGATGAACCATCATCCCAACGTCACGCTAGCCGATCTCGGAGACACGAGGGGATTCGATCTGCCCGGCGAGGAAAACACCTTGTACGCCATGCGCTTACAAGATAACGTGTACAAACGACGAGAAGTCATCATCGAGTCTCAGTTAAACTGGATTATTAACCTGGTCCTGACCTACCCCTATCTTATCATGGATAATAATGATGGTGGCATCTCGCTAAAATATACCGGGATACAGGACACTGCTTGGGAGGTTTGATCCTGGAAGAAGAACGTGGATGAGCGTAGCACCATTACCAGATCAAACAGCTAACATGTTAGTCCCCAATGAGAAAAAAGCAGCATTATTTTTACTAAAATATACTGATGTGCCAGACTCGTGGATCAGAATGATACAAGGCTCTACTCTTATTATCGAAATTACCATGGATAGTAACAGTTCATATAACAAGGCAAGGGATGAGATGTGGAGTTGCTGAGAAGTCAAGTAACTGATAGAAGCCAGAGGTGATAGGCTCAGAACTTTTCAGCCACCACTCTTACTTCAGTACACCATAATGTTAATCTTAAAGTTTGCGAGTACAATTTACATTATCACTATGATGACTAAACTCCATGATTCTTTTTATTATTGACATTTTCTTTAATTTGTTTTGTGCAATAGATTAATTGTTGGTAAGTCTCAAATTGGCATCATAGTAAAGAAATACAGTTCACTCTACCACCTTGTATAGCATATTATAGTTTTGCCCCAAACTATTATAACGTTAAAGCACTAGGATACAAGTGTTTTACAGGCAGGTAGAGCAAACTGAATTTCTTATATCAAACAAGTCATCAAGGATGTCTCAAAACAAGCATGAGTTATGAAGAAATCTAGAGTTCTGTGTGAATTCTGCTCTGCAAAATTAAACCCTCCTTTGGACATAAGCACAATTTGAAATTATCATAAAACACAAAAGATCACAACAGCATAAGTTACCAGTACAGCACCTGCTGGAAACCTAAACTACAAGACACAGTATACTACATCCGTAATATACATGTCATGACAAGGTGGGCTAGTACTGTATGTGAATATGGATCTGGATTACCTGTGATAGCAGTCACTGGGGGACACACACCAGCCGCCAGATTGTAGATGCAGCAGCCAGTTGTTCTCAGCACTGATCTCACCTAACAACACAGCCACACTTAACAAACGATAGATTATTTACATACAGATTTTAGATTGGATACTACACAAATATACAATTTAAACTCCGGTGTGCGAGTGATCATATACTACAACAGCTGAATTTAAAGATCACATGCAACCACAAAATCAAACATAATTAAAACACAATTATCACTTATTCATGACATATAATATACATTGCTGATTATGAAAAAACATATAAACAAAATTATAAGCGTACAATCACAAATCAAAAGTGCAATAGTTTGAACATGGGTTTACTTCCCAAGAAACGAAGCAGCCAGGATACCGAACCCAGTCAGAGCAGGAGGGTGTGCACTCAAGTGTAACGGCTGGTTCATTTGCAGATGCCCTCACGGCTCATTGTGTGTGTATATATAGAGATGTTGGGTTTTGTAAATACATGCTCATTTTTTGTGTATAACATTTTGCAATCAACAGACATCATAACATGTCATGTGTTCAAGTATCACACCTGCCTGTCTGTGTAATTACATAATGTGACAGAGACCGAACTCGGGCCATAAATCAATGCGTTTTGTTTATGGTGTATAGCCTGATTGGTGTTAAGTTCAAATTGCATGTGGTCAGTGATCGAAGTTGTGTACTGAATATTGTCATTAGGAGACAGGCAGGCAGACACATAGGTGTCAATAAAACAGACATTGAGTTTTGTCTGTGACAACTACATATCTATATCATAGTTAGAAATTATGTCAACGCTAAATAATGACATTGCTTTTAAGTGTCGAACTGAGGAAGTGACTCAGTAAGAAGAACGTGTGGTGAAATAGACAAATGAAATTATATAAACAGTTAAATCGGTAATCTACTGTCATAACATATAAAAAGCTCGAGCCTTTGAAATATCAACAAAACATTAGAAAATGAGCTCACACAAAAGCCTTCACCGAGTATTCACCGGACAATCCGCTTCCAAGCTGCGCGAACCTATTTACTTGCGCATGTGCTATGAGCGCGGAGCCCAGATGTTGAAACCACTTTTCCCCCAAGCCCTGGGGGAAAATTAGTGAATCGTTTGAACTCTGATTTCGCGCTTTTTTGTTTCATTGCGTTATTTTTCAACTTTATAAGTTGAATTTGCATTTTTGATGATTTGTTTCGGTAAGTCCATACAGAAAGGTATCAGAATCTGCAAAGTTTGGTTTTACGTTGCATGTGACCTTTAAGTAACTTAACTTTAGATTTAACTTGCATGAAATGCATTTTGACATAACATAATTGCAAGAAAAACAGTTTGCACCCTGGTCCCATACATTCGACCAATGGGATTGGTCTGCTGAGGACTGATCTTCTCCTACTACCTCATCAACATGTGTAACAATTTTTCATCACATTAATCCCTATCCCCCCATTCCCCAAAAAGTTGCTGTTCAAATCTACTTTTTTGCAATAAATAACAAAAAAGAACAGTGTCATTTTTACACTGCAATTTCACAATGTCAGAGATAGAAACTGCTGGTGTGAACCCATGCAGGCAATATGACTCATTACTATGTCTACACTCATCTAGTGACAGAGAACTCTCATCTTCAACACCCGTACACATACTCACCGTGTCTGAGATAAAAGGCTGGTGGGGACCCATCCAGGCAATATGCTCCTCTAGGGGCAGAGAACTCCTCTGGTAAAATCACAAGCTCACCATCTGAGTCACTTTCATTATGGAATTGTACAAAAACAACACGCATGTTCGACAATGCTCGCACAATCACTACTATGGCAATAAGCATAATGGCAAGTGTTATCTGAATATACAGTCTTCGAGAACACACAATTGGAGGAAGAAAGTTTGGCCGAGAAAGTTTTGTTGGGGCAAACTTGAATGTCATGGCTGGAGGTTTTTGTAACAGAGCTTCATCTGATGTCCTGAATTCCATGTTTGAATCTGTATGCTGGCATACATGCACTAGAACTCTTCCAACATGACTGCTTTGCTAGGACCACTGAAATAGTTAGAAACAGTCATCCATCAAGTTGCATTGTGGGGAGCTTGACACTGGAAAGTGAAAATATCTGGTAAGCCTGGCAAGCATTGGAGGTCTGTAGTACAAATAGGAGCAGATCAAGTTACCATAGCTGGTCATGGCTGAAAGTTGACCACTGACAATAGATTACCTAATCTATCTGATGGTTCAACACAGCTGGTTCCAGCTCATGTTAGACAGCCTACTGTGTTACTGCAAAAATCATGTGTTAGTACCTGTTTGAATGTCTGCATGTAAGCAGAGCATTGCTCATTCTATGGATTCCATTGTCGATCATGCTACTTTTTCACCCTAACATATATGATGAAAGGTGTTACCTAATTTCATATGAATCATTAATTGAGATGATAAAATGATTTAATATGTTCATGAAATTGAAGTGTATGTTTTGTCAACTATACAGATTGTTCTTTAACTTACTCTAAAATATGTATGAACCCAAGGTATAACCAAATGTTTTATCCCAATGTCTCATTGAGTGATTGTTGCTTGTAGGTATCTCAATGTTGCATGACTGTCAGGCCATGTTTCCAGAATAAGTTTCACTTCTCTTTTGATTACATATCTGGTGCAAAGAATTTTACTGTTTGTCATCTTTGGCATTAAATAAATATCCAGTCTTTGGAATTAACAAGAACGTAAGTTAGAACGTAATATACGTCACGCTGTAGATCTGTAAGATGGTAAAGGTGTTTAACAGCTAAAGATGAAATATATTCATTCCCATTTTGTGTGATTCCATGGCGTTTTCATGAAAGGGAATGTTTTATTTTCAAGGTTCCGATTTTAATCTTTGATACACTACAAATGTGGTATGCATGGTTCCGTCAATTCTGGATTTTGAATAGATATATATCATGTGGTGTCAACTGTGTGATATATGCTTTAGTGAGTACACATTCTTTTTGATTTTCAGATGAATTATTTTTTCCTTATTCCATGTTTGAATGAAAACAAGAACAAAAGAGTTCATTTTCTTGCAGTTTATGTTGATACTACAAGTTATCAATGAACACAAATTACTTGAGTGTTTATGGGTACCTTACTGGCTGAATGAGTTTGGTTTTACGCCGCTTTTAGCAATATTCCAGCAACATCACGGCAGGGACACCAGAAATGGGCTTCACACATGGGTACCTTACTTCAAACCAGTGCTGCAAATCTAATACTGTTCACTGAGTGCTGAACAAGTATAAACTTATCATTCACATGTTGTAGTTTGGAAAATAATGTTTTCTTGGACTGACGTGATTTGGTTTTTTTTTTGCACTGTCCTCTCTGAATTGTGCACAATTTCGTTGTGACTGACTGTATAACAACAAACATCCAAGCACAAAGTGCATTAAACACATAAATCATCCATATCACTCTCTACATTAGGATCAAAATGATTGTAATCATGTGATAGCATCTCATAAACAGACAAACCAAAGATAAACATGTCATATATGATGCTTGGTCTGGGCAGATGCCGCTGAGAGTGCTATAACTAGATCAAACATCACCCGTACTAAAAGGACCCCAGATTTCGATGATAGAAATGTTGCAGAGTAACTGTACAAAATTAAAGGTTAACTGAACTTACCAACTTGTAATCATTCGCTACTATAGCTGCCCATGAATCCCGCGATATGACATGATACCGCTTTGTCCATGTTGGTAAACACGATATTTACAAGCAATCGTCATCATGAGCGACCCCGACTGTAACAAAATCTCCATACAATGACGATGTCGGGAGCTGAGCACGGGTCGTAAACGGAGATTACCAATCCGAAGTTTACCAAACAGGTTCGATTCTTGGGTAGTTGTTTTTTCGTTGGAGCTTTTTGTTTATTTGTATTTTTGTTAGTATACAATCACCACATTATATTATTTTCTATCATTTAACCTAGTTTTCACACAATTACAATTAATAGGTTTGAGTATCTGGCCTTTCAAAGCTAGAACAAATGTAGATGCCAAACAGCACCGTTCTAATGTAAAAGATAATATATTTACTCGTGCCTTTTGCTATTCTTCGGGTATGCTCTGGTGCTCACGATGCCAAGATGTGCCCATAGTCAGCTGGCCAGGGTGACCAGTGTCAAAATGCCAAACTAGTAACTTATTTACAGAGATTATCTAACATTTAAGGTCAATAGAATGTTTACGAATGATAACCCTGTTTACTAAAATTATCACATACACAGTATTCCCAGAAATCTCAAAGTTCTTAAATTTTCCCCTACTCACAATTTGACCAAGTCGACGGCGATCCGTAGTACTAAACTTCCTTGGCCCCTGTCTTGTGCTCAATCCCAACTCCTGACTGAATATTCTTCAAAGTTCTGTATACTGTAGACAGAGGAGTGCATTTACAACCAGCTTTTTTCCCCCTCTGCTGTCAAGTCTGTCATGTCAACCAAGAACGCCGTCTGCTACATCAGGGTAGATAACTCTTGATGAAGTAAGCTTCGTTCTTCAACCTACAAGAGTTGCCTCCCATATTGAGTACCTTAATTTACTACAAAATGTAACACTTATTTTAAAATTCTATTATCAGTATTAGGAAACACAGATTTTCACAATAATTTCTGGGAATAATATGTGTGTGTGTGTGTGAGAGAGAGAGAGAGAGAGAGAGAGAGAGAGCGCATGTGTGTCTGTGTATTGGGATATCTTGAAACGATTTCTACATCAGAAAATAGAATCTTCAGATGAAGAAATCAAATTATTTCTAGGCTTGCTTAGAAATGACAAATTCGATCTTCTTTATTCATATAAGTGGAATCATCGTTCATGAGTGAAAAGTACAACTAGCACTTCAAGACACCCATCAATATATCTATCGTTTGTTTGACCACGATATCGTTTTAAAGTTAAAGTACCGATTAGTAATACCTCGCACTGTGGTCGTGCATGCATGGTCGTCGCTATTTTAAACACTGTTAGAGATCGACTGTATGTGGTCGCAGAGACCAGGATATATGGTACGGAAGCCTATTAGGGCCACGCTGGTTTTTATGTTGAAAATTCAACTATTCGAAAATTCCACTTGCTATCTTGAAAATTTAAATATCTTGAAAATTCAACATTCTTGAAAATTCAACTGTATCTTGAAAATTTGAATATTCAAGTAGGTATCTTCTTGAAAATTCAACATCCTATCTTGAAAATTCAACATCTTATCTTGAAAATTCAACATCATCTTGAAAATTCAACATCAACTTAGTATCTTGAAAATTCAACTTAACTTTGTTGAATATTCAAGTAGGTTGATCTTGAAAAATTCAACATCTTATCTTGAAAATTCAACATCCTATCTTGAAAATTCAACATTTAACAACATCTTATCTTGAATATTCAACATCCTATCTTGAAAATTTTCAACATCCTATCTTGAAAATTCAACATCCTATCTTGAAAATTCAACATCTTAAATCTTGAAAATATTCTTGAAAATTCAACATCCTATCTTGAAAATTCTTAAAATTCAACATCTTCTTGAAAATTCAACATCTTTGTTGAAAATTCAACATCCTATCTTGAAAATTCAACATCCTATCTTGAAAATTCAACATCCTATCTTGAAAATTCAACATCCTATCTTGAAAATTCAACATCTTATCTTGAAAATTCAACATCCTATCTTGAAAATTCAACATCCTATCTTGAAAATTCAACATCCTATCTTGAAATTCAACATCTTATCTTGAAAATTCAACATCCTATCTTGAAAATTCAACATCTTATCTTGAAAATTCAAGTTGCATCCCATCTTGAAAATTCAACATCTTATCTTGAAAATTCAACATCCCATCTTGAAAATTCAACTTAGTATCTTGAATTTTCAACATCCCGTGTTGAAAATTCAAGAAATTCAGTACTTATTGAAATGCTACGGAAGCCTATTAGGGCCACTGATATATTTTTATTATCTTGAAAATTCAAGATATTAAGTTGAAAATTCAAGATGCTATCTTGAAAATTCAAGATATTAAGTTGAAAATTCAAGATGCTATCTTGAAAATTTAAGATATTAAATTGAAAATTCAAGATATTAAGTTGAAAATTCAAGATACTATGAAGTTGGAAATTCAAGATATTAGGTTGAAAATTCAAGATACTATGAAGTTGAAAATTCAAGATATTAGGTTGAAAATTCAAGATATGAACTAGAAACTTCAACTAAAGCTGTTCAGTATGACAGTTCAAGCAATCGGAGGGAAACAGAAGGTATGGAGCGGGAGAGATATATTTCCATATATTTCTCACTTGGATTATCAAACAAGGAAATTCTTTACCTACTTGCTCAAGACCACGGAATTGTTCTTAGTATTATGACGCTTAAACGCATAACATCTAAGCTGAAATTATATAGAAGGAAAGAACATTCAGATATACTCGATGTTGCTCTCTTTCTGTTGAGAGCGAGCGAAACCTCCACTGGAAAGGGACAAGGTTACAGATGGTTGCACAGAAAGTGTCAAGAAGAAGGTTTAGTTGTATCAAAGGAGACAGTAAGAATAATATTGTGTTTGATTGACCCTGAGGGTGTGAAGCGGCGTAGCAGATGTCGACTCAAGCGCCGTGTCTACAATTCTGCTGGCCCCAATGCGGTGTGGCACATGGATGGATATGACAAGCTTAAACCCTTTGGAATCTGTATCCATGGATGCATAGATGGATTTTCAAGAAACATTTTGTGGCTGGAAGCATGGAACACAAACAATGATCCAAAGGTAATCGCAGGGTACTTTGTGGAGACCATGAAGAGACTGCACGGATGTCCAGAACGGATACGCTCTGATGCTGGAACAGAAAACAGATCGGTAGAACAGATGCAATATCTGCTACGGGATGAACATATCTACAGATACTCTGGAAAACATAGCTTTTTGTACGGATCTAGTGTAACCAATCAACGCATTGAGTCGTGGTGGGGGATTCTCAGGAAACAGTGCATACAACATTGGATGGATCTGTTTAACCATTTGAAAGAGGACGGCTACTACACAGGAGACTTCGTTGACAAGAATCTAGTTCAGTTTTGCTTCCTAGAAGTAATACAGGCAAGTATTTTGACACTTTACAATTCAGTTACATAAATAATCTAAACAATCGAATGCATATGGTACTGAAAGGTTAAGATTGTACACAGTTTGATTGATTTGTTGCTTTATAAGTTGATACAAAAATTTTCGAGCAAGAATGCTACACTTTTGAAAATGTTTCAACTTTGATGTCAAACATGCTCAAATTTCAAACATGATTAATTAATTTGTAATTGTTTTTCTATCCTCCAGAAAGAAATAAACAGAGTGGCACAAACATGGAATTTTCACAGTATCCGGGCAAGTAAGACCAATCCAGGTCCCAATGGAAAACCAACTGTGATGTTCTCACTCCCCCGTTTATATGGCGCCGAAAATCACCTGAAATCTGTCAATGGAGAGGCTCTCACACACTGTGAAGGAGAGTGTACTATGCGAGGTGAACAGCGCTGTGATCCTACTGTACATGACATATGCACCCTTATCATGGAGGAAATGCAGTGCCCGTTTCCAGAGGAGAGGGAAGATCTAAGTGATCTGTATCTGGCATTGAGGAGAGAAATTAGAAGCGAACTATTTTAGTTTTTACTGTTCATGCGATTATAAACAGAAAATAAATCCTCAATTTTCAAAAAAATATACTTATTCTATTTTGTTGTGAAATGCAAGTAGTATGAAAACTACAGACATATCTGATGTAGTGAGTGATCCCCTCATTTTAACAAGACTTCTGCTGTATAATCACCTATGTATGTTTAGCATGTCATCTTGATGTCCTCAGATATGAAACACTTTTTCATCAAAACGAAGCAGTGTATATTAGCACATATTTGGTTCAATCGGAGACCATATAATAGATATAGAATTACTTGCTTACCATCAGCTGTCTTCATCGATTCCGAAAGAAAGTGAAAGAGCGTTTGAATGATGCGGTCTAACAAACACATGGTGAAGATGTGAATAAGTCTGATGTGATGGCTGCTGACTTCTTCTATATAGGTGTGCATGCTTGAAATACAATCTTTCTGTATGCACATCTGATGATACCTCTCGGTAATTTGTTTTAACATATTTTATTTCAAGAGAAATAAATTTGCAATTTGGATCAGATCTTGACCAACTATTGAACCTGACTGAGATGCATCCATCATAGGGTCGCAAATGATCAAATTCAATATGTAATAAATTACATGAAAAGAAGTTATGGAAATTAAAATCCAATGTATAATTCACTTCATGGACATTTAAAATATCAGTTTACGAATTTATTTTAGATTGTGTACAGATTTGTATGATTTCATGTTTTTCATTCACAATCTAAGTCCTTGTGTTGCACCAAGTTTATAAGTTTTCATGTTTTAATATTTTAATGAATTAGTATATTCTTTAGTCTATAGTCTCAATTTCAAATTCAGTTTATAGTTTATTTGCAACAGTTGAAATTCATATTTACTGTGTTTTTAATGAAAGAATATCTATATGGTTGAATTTAGTAGTACATGATTGTACATATAGATCTATGGTCCTATTCTACAATAAATACATTGTACATATAAGAACGTGTGATGTTGTGCTTTAATGTTATTGGTTGCATTTTCCTGCCAAGTGAAAGTTGACACTTTGCTGAATTTTTTTAATTGATAGGGTAATGTAGTACAGCCCATTTAACACGAATATCTATTGGCTCG